TCAGTAAGATCAACCATTGTAAAATGCAAAATGGTGATATATGTTAACCCAAAGTAATCATTTCCAAATGATATCAAAACACTCTAAATACAAAAATCTTATTGCTACCCTTGCATGTTACTGACTTTTTTCTAGATTATGTATTGTGATGTATTAAAAATCTGCAGGAAAAATTGCTTAAAATGTTTTAGGGCAATAATTTTTACTGCTATTTCTTGCAGAATGAGGTTTTTGTTTTTTTTTTTTAAAGAAAAAAACTCTTGTTTACCTTTTATTAAAAAGAACTCAATGGTTCAGTAACATATCTTAGGATTTTGTGTTTGTGGCTTTTTATAGTTATGTGGTTACATTCCCTTTTTGTCCCATAGATCATATGGCTAGTTCTCCAGCTGGTTTTTTATTTATTGTTTTTAATAAACATTGCCACTCAACAATCAGATATATTTTGGAGGCTTCTTCCTGTCAAAGTAGAAAGGTTTTAGGTAATAGGAAAGGCAGATGCAATGTCCTACATTTTCATAGTAGAGCTTACAAGTGAAAGGATTTATTCAAATAGGTTATCTTCACTGTGTAGCACCAGTAAAAGTAGTGGTTTCATTAATCATTGAATGTGATGAAGCAGTTTTAAGTCATTTCCTACTTAGCTCTAAAGAATTTTGTCATTTCAGGCCACATTATTATTTTCTCCGAGTGGTTTTCCATTGTAAGGTTGAGTATCTTTTTATTTATATCATCACTAAGGGTTAAGATAATCAAATAGGAATTAAAATAAGTTATACTTGATCTTTTTTCCCTGAAAATAATGGTGAACCTATTGTCTATATTATGAATATTAGGCAGAAATGCACTTGTTTCGATCATAGAAGAAAATACATTTGGAAAATATAATTATTTGATTTTCTAGTGGTGTGAAATACTTTTTAAAAATTGTGCTTGTCTGTAACTGAAATGTTATAGAATTGTAACACTATAAGGATTCTAGAGTTATATTTATTAGCTCTCTTTGAGAGATTGAAGCACAATAATTTTCACGTAACCGTTCTTACCAAGTGCTGCTAATCTGTCGTGCAAATGATCAAACTATTTGGTTGCCTATCTAGCTATTCACAAATCACTGTAATCCTTGAAATGTAGTCTTGTTGCTCATCTGTATTAAATTTTGGGTATTGTGGGTTAATTCTTTAGAACAAAATCCATCAACTCAGCTCGGTGAGCCCAACAAACCATTTGGATTCACTAGTTTTATATGTGTTCTCAATAGAATTAAATTTAAAGGGGCTATTTACTACCAGTGACTAAGGGGGAAAATTATATTGTCAATATCATTTGACTTGAACAATTGTGGTATTGTAAAAGTCTTACTTGTTGTGTTTCTTAATTGCTTAAGCCATACATACTATTAAGGATTTTTTTTATTGTATTCCTTTTCAGCAGCCTTTTTCTGCTGTTATGGTTAATATGTCATAGATTTTAGAAATTAAGAAGTTACCAAAACATTTTATTTTCCTGATCATCACTTTTGACTCTTGTGTGATATGTGATTTTGTCATAAAGGATAGCAAGCCTTCCACTACTTCACTAAATGAATTTCAGAGTAAACACTGTGATTCTGCAGAGGATTCAGTAGGCCCTTGTGTTTCCAATGTTTTCTTCTGTTACATGGTGCCTACCACCTTGAGGGAGCTTAAATACTAGAGGATGAAGAGTTAAACATTGTTTTGATGTTTATTGAATAACAAGATTACAGATGATTTGATTTTTGTCGTCAGTGTATTGAAGACATTTTTGCATTGATAAATGTTCTCTCTAGGAATGTGATTACATTCATCAGGTGTGAACTCTTGTAAATGAATTTTGTATCTTGAATTCACATATATATTAAGTGTATCATCGATATAAAAATAAACATTAAAATTATTTGCTTAAAGTTTTTGTTACTTCTTTAGAATTGCTGACAACATAAGCGCTAAACTGGACAGGGTTTGCTTTTCAGATAATTCTTCAGACACTTGAAACAATTTGAGATTTAGGATTCGATGGTATTGTTGCAGTTTGTACACTTCTTCTGAGTCCTAGTCTTGGTTTTTCCCCTGCCCTGCTCGTGGTCAGAACTGGGACATGCTGAGGGCGGGATTGTTTCAGGGGATTGAGTTGAAGCTGCTGGCCCTCGGGCTGGTGTTGAGTTTGGGCAGGAACACATAGAACTTCCATGTGGAATGTTTGCCTCAGTTGGCGTTGAGTCTGGAAACCCGACGTAGGCTACCAATTTGTACTGTAACTTTGTACAAGGCAGTTTTATCTGTCTGGACTTCCTTCATCTGTCAAAAGTTGGAGGCCCATTCGTGACTAGTGAAATGAAAGTAGTGCGCTGACGCTAGCGTGGTTTTTCTAATGATTCAGAGTGCACTATATAATAATGTTAAGATTCTGAAAACTTTTCTTTCAGTGACCTGAATTGTAATATAAAATGTGTAGCCTACAGTAGATCACAGGCACACAACACAAGTGACAAAGCGCGAGTTCCCAACACTGATTGATGTATGGAGCCAGAGGCTCCCGCGTGAGGAAGGTGACAGAGTCATGCAGGGTGCAGACTGGGATGCACAAAGGGAAATGAAACTCTGGGTCGGCCTAACGCAGCCACGGCCTGAGGTTTCTATGAGACAAGCTGGCACCACCGCAGCCATCGGTTCTTTCCCTTTTGCCACCAGGCTCCTACCACTTCCCCCGCTACGCACCGTCCCCTATTTGGGGGGGCAAAAAAAAAAAAAGGAAAGGCTTCTACCCAGTCTTCCTACCTATGCGGGTCTGGCCGCTTGCTGACGTGGCGGGCCGGCCTCAGGGAGCGGCCAGCCCCGCGCCTGTGCCCGCGCCCTCCAGCGGTTCCGGTCCAACCGCCATCCCGAAGCTCGCGGAGGCCGCGCTCAGGCGCATGCGCACAGTGGGCCGGCCCCGCGCGCAGCCACTTCCGGCGCGCTGGTGAAAGTGCGGTTCCGGGTCGCTGCTCTGCTCGCCGGCCGGCCGTGGGGGCTGGTGACGCGGGCCGGCGCTCACGAGAGGCCCCGGAGGCGGGGCTCTGCCGGCTGCCCAGAGAGCGGCAGGTGGGCGGGCGGGGGCCGGAGACGGGAGCAGGCTTCTATTTCCCTCGGTGGCCTCGGTGTGCCCCCAGAGCGGCGCCGACTGGGTTGCCCAAGACCCAAGGCGGGGGGCAGTGCCAGGGTGCCGGACAGGGCGAGGGTGGGGGCAGAGGCGGGCTCTTCGGCCTGGGAATCTGGAACCTGGGATCCCGGAACAACCCCCTCCTGCGCGCACCTTAGACAAGTCACTCTTCCTCTCTGGGTCTCAGTTTCTCTGCTGTCAAATGGGAGAGACATTGGGTCCCTTCTGGCTTTGACAGTCCACGTAAGGGCGGGTCTGGGAGGAGCCTGAGTGAGTGGGATCCGAACTGCAGTGGCAGGTGGCTGGCCCCCCGAGCATTTGGCAGCTGTCTTCCAACTATGCCGTCCTTTTTCTCAACGATTTTCTGAATGTGAGTCAAGGCTCTGGGGTTCTGGCCAGGTAAACAGTGTGTGACTGTCAGAATCAACTGAAATAAATACTGGCCCTGGGAAACCTTAATCTCATTGAAGTTGTTGTGTTCACGGCTCCCAAGGCGAAGTGAGTTTAGCCGCTTACTACAATGAGAGATTCTGTTCTTTGTGCCTTTAGGTGAAACTCTTAGGCAAATCACAAATGCAAAGACCAGGGTGAGGGAGGGTAGACCACTGAGGATTATGGTAATGGCAGGTTTTCTCTCCCCCCACCCCCCACCTTGATCCTTCCTCCGTTCTCTTCCACTCTGCCTGTCCCCCCAACATTTTGACTTTACACTTGAGAGGAAATATCCGATGCATTTTATCTTTGTCTTCATGCAGGAGAGAAAGCTTTGACCTTCAAGCTGTTTTAAATCTAGTAGATAAGCCAGGTGAGTAGGTGGTTTACAGACATTGAAGGTAAACTTTTGAAGAATGGCACAGACTTAAATGGATGCTCAGAAGTGGTAAGCAGTCATTTGTAGATCCTAGAGCTTCATCATTAGAGGTCTTAGAGCAGAGCTTAGAAACATCCAGAAAACATCAAAAGTTAAGGTTGGAACCAGAATATTAATGTTTCATGCATGATAGGAAAAGATGTTTGAATCTCGTGTGTAGTATCATGGAAAACATTGTACAAAAAAGAAACTGACTTTAGGGAATTTTAATCACTCATTAAGAAAACCACACAGCATTTCCAGGAAACATTTAAGGATGTTTCCTGATACAGTGTAGTTGGCTGGCTTTCCTAATTTTTTTTAGGAAAAAGTTGTCAACATTTTCTAGTGAACAGCTGATTCCACACCATCTTGTGGAACATCAGAATGTTACATCTTTTCCCTGTATTGAGTTACATGTTTTTGTATTAACTGTAGTCACACTTAATATTATTAGGGGAAGGATTCGAAAGCATTATGTTAATGTTTCCTCTGGGAAACTTTACTTAATGTTTTGTATGCAACAGCCAATGTGATGTAATTTAAAAAAAGAGTAAGGACTTGTGGGTTCCTGGGTTCCAAAACACTGCACTTTAGCCACACAGTCTTTGGCATATTACTCCACCTCCCTAAAACTGGATTTTCTTGTCTGTATATGCATCTGTCGCACCTGAGTTCTTTGTAAATGTTTAGTAATTGTGTCCTAGTAAGTATGCATGTAAAATTAAGAAACTTAATTTTGAAATCTAAAGCTTAATTAACAAAGCAACCCAGATATGCAATTTCTCTGATGTTTAGTTTAGAGCTCTCTTTCATCTGATTTATAGATACTCCTGTGCCACAAGCCTTTGGCCCCCATTTCAGTGGGAATGCAGCTGGTTTGGATAACTGGACCTTTTTAGGCATTGTCTTGGGATTCCCAGTTGCTCGCCTGACGATTGTTGTCGCGTCTCAAGCGCTGGTCATCAGTGCAGGATAGCCACACAGCAAAATGTTTGCAAAACTGAAGAAGAAAATTGCAGAAGAGACTGCTGTCACTCAAAGGCCAGGAGGTGCTACTAGGATCCCACGATCAGTGAGCAAGGAGTCCGTTGCCTCCATGGGAGCTGACTCAGGAGATGACTTTGTAAGTACCTTCTGTAGTTCTTAATATTTGGTACAGCCTCATTACATTTAAAAAATAGTATTTCATGGAATCATTCCGGTAAGTATTTTCTTTTAAAATTGCAAAGATGATTTGTAGTTTGTATCTGATTCTTCTTATTCTGAGGTGCTTTTCTATTTTTTTTCCGCGGGTCCCTTTCCATATTCTCTACTTTCTCCTCTTGTACTCTTTTTTCCATCTATATAAAAAAAGATGTGCATCATCTTTTATATTGTGTTTCTCAGAGTACTTTGGCCTGTTGTCTTTGCACATATATATACTTTAAGTCATTGTTACTTAGTGAAGTCTGTGCATTTGGCATGGAATTAGTCAGGGAATTACCACTATTTTTATGGGAAAATTGATGAAAAGATGGCACTGATGGCTGCACGTTGTCCCTTATTTGTAAAGTACCTTTGTAGTTGGAAAGATTTGAGAATGCTACTGTGTTAAGTATCATGCCTTAGGATTAAAATTGTGTCTGTGGCATATGACAGGATCTTCTTAAAGTCAGATAACTTAAAAGAAGTTATTTATAATGCTTGATATATGTAAAAGAATGTATATAATGTAAATATAAAGTATAAGGCATAAAAATAAAATGAATGCTTTTTAAGTCTGTCACTTAGGCAGGGAACTAGATTTTTATCAATACTGTGAAGCCACTTGTGTGTTCTCTCCTGGTTCCCTTCCCTTTCCTCCCCTTCAGATAACCCAGCCTACAGTTTGTGTATATTGTTCCTTTCCTTTTTAACATATCCTGCCAGATACATGTATATTCATAAACAACCTGTTGCTTATTTTCAAACTTTATAAGAACAATACACTGCACGTGGTTCATTTATTTTTACTGCTATGTAACACTCTGGCATTTGAAAAAGGCCACAGTTTGTCTCTGTTTCTACTGGTGATAGATACTTGAGTTGTTTCCATGGTCAGATGAGTCGACCTCCTTCTTTTTTATACTACCTGTTCAGGTTAGATTACATGGCAGAAGCTTTTAGGTTATTGGGGTGGACCAATAGATTACCAGATCTAAATTATCATTGGCTCCTGTGTTCAACAGGAAATTTAAATGCACATTTGAGCACCAGGCTGAAGGACGTAGTTTTAATGCTGAGTTCTCTGGCAAAGGTACTTGCCTTGGCATCATGCTGACTCGCTAAATGAACTCTCTCTCAAATGTATTCCAGATACGGAGATTGGCTTGAATCCAGGAAATACTTTGCTGTGTGACTTCTGAAGTTATCTGTTTGAATTTGTTCAAATTCTGATTCTGATCCTCACTGCCTGTCTCCAGACCCTTGACTTACATGACGTAGATCTCCTCACTCAGGTGCCTTTCCTCTGGTGTTTCACGTCCTGAATTCATTACCTCCATTTCCACTTGTGCACCTTTGTCCCCCAAGTCACCGGCAAGAAAGCTTGGCGGCATTTTAGACTCTTCTTCACTTCTTGGTGTCCAGTCTGTCAGCAGGTATTTTGGTTTCCGTCTCCTGTCTCAAACTTACCCTTTGTACTCCACTTGCTAGTAGTACATTTGTTGTTGTTTAATTGCTAAGCCGTGTCTGACTCTCTGCAGTCCCATGGACTGTAGCCCATCAGGCTCCTCTGTCCTGGGATTTCCCAGTCAAGAATACTGGCGTGGGTTGCCGTTTCCTTCTCCAGAAGATCTTCCTGACTCAGGGATAGAACCTGTATTTTCTGCATTGGCAGGTGGATTCTTTACAGCTGAGCCACCAAGGAAGTTTATTTTCTTTTTTTTCAAGCCATCTTTCTTAATTGGACAAATGTGGTAGGCTGTCTGGGTTCCCTGCCTATATTAACTCCCCAAAACAGATCTGTTCATGTCTCTTCAATTTCTCTGTGGCTTCCCATCATCTTCGGGATGAAGTGCAAAGTCACTGTTATGTATAATGGTTAACCCCTGTGGTCGTGACACAGCTCACCCATCCACCTTATCTCACTACATTCCTATACCCTGTGCTCCCTCCATACTGAACTTACTGTACTTTATGGAACAGACAACTAGAAATGTTCACATATGCTGTCTCCTCTCTAGAATTTCTCCTATCTCCTCCTCTCACTCCTGCATTCCTCTGGCAGATTTTGTTCATCCTTCAAGACTTGGCTTACATGTTGCTTCCAGGAAGCCCTCTTGACCTGACCTTCCCTCTCATCCTCTCTAACCTTCATCCCTCCTGGCTGAATCTGGTCTCTTGACCCCTGCATCCTCTGTAATATCACCTATTACACTGCATTGTTCTTGATGATTTGCTTCTTTGTCTCTTCCACTAAACTGGGAGCTTCTTGAGAGGCAATAGAGTAATGCTTGGGAGCCCAGGTCAGGTTAAGGAGGCAGACCTGGGTTTGATGGCTCTTTGGTTATTGTGTGACCTTGGGTGAGTCTTTTTCACTTTCCTGTGCCTTAGTTTCCTCATCATTAAAATAAGAACAATACCCATCTTTATTAAAGTATGTGTGTTGCAGAGTAGTAGGGGGAGGGTCTCCCCCAAGTTCAGTTATTCATTAGAAGGGCTCGCAGCACTCAGCATATAGTTTTATTCACTGCTATCATTTATCACAGTGGAAACATTTGTTACAAAGCATAATTAGCAAAGAGAAAATGTGCATGGGCAGAATCTGGAGCGAACCAGGCACAGTCTTCCCAGAGTCCTCTCCAGGGGGGTTGCCTGGGACACACTTGTTTCCCTCAGCAAGGAGCTGTGACAGCACAGGATGAGATGCTGTCTATCAGGGGAGCTCAGAGACTCGATGCTCAGGAGTTTTACTGGAGGCTGGTCTTACAGGCACCTTCTGCCTAGCATTTACCAAAATTCCAGACTTCTAGAAGGAAGGCACTTGAGAGGGTCAGTAGCCTCAGTAGGGAGGCCAGAGGTCCCCAAGTGGCAGGAGAAAATAAACTACAAGTGGCAAATGTATTTGTTTCCTTTTTCTTTTCTCTTCTAATCCTGTGTCTTCATGGCAACAGCTAGTTCTGCCTGAACTTAACTTTATCTCAAACCTTGAGCTAACCAATGCTTTTTTTTTCTCACGGAAATGTCTTTCTTAAGCTATGTTAATGAATTTTGTATTTGCTTGGAAATATGCCTTTCTTCAAGATCCATGTCAATTGTTTTATGGAGGGAGGGAGATGACTCACCTATGCCAATGCTATCTCAAAATGCATGTTGGGGGTGAGGGGGTGAGGGGCCTGGTGCAACTCTGCAACTTGCTAACAGGTATATAACTTCTTGCTGAAAACTAACAAGGGGGCTCTTTCTGTTCCCTTCTGATGTCTATATTAGAAGCTTTCTCTGTCTGTTTTTATACTTTAATAAAACTTTGCTGCACAAAAGCTCTGAGTGATCAAGCCTCGTCTCTGGTCCCAGATCAAATTCATCTCCTCTGGAGGCCATGAATCCCGGTGTCGTTCACGGCTCTTAGCAGCAACCTTTCACATGTTAGGCATAAATCACATTTTTTTGCACAATCAGTTTGGGTACCATGAGCCATTCTTATCAGGAGTGGTGAGAACCCTTGTAAAATCTAAGTTCCCATGGGCTAGCCAGGGTCAACTTACAAGCCGGCTTTGCCAAGGATAGCAGTCTCAGGCCAACGACATGAACTCTTTTCTGCACAGTGCATAAAAAACTTAGTAGTACCTGGCTCTTAAGCACTTCGTAATTAGTAGTTGCTGCAACTGCTGCTGTTTTAGACAGGAACTCCTTTTCATCACTGTTCACAGTGCTGAAAACAATACTAAGAATAGGTGTCTCATTACCAATAATAATCATAATTTTTACTACTGTATATTAAAGCTAATTATGTGCCAGGCTCTGTTTTAGACCTGACAGATTTTGATTTGTTTACTCCTCATCACAGCTCTGTGATGCCGATTATTTTTGTTAACCATATTTTACATGTGAGGAAGCCAGTACACAGAGAAGTTGACCAACTGGTCCAAGTTCTTGTAGTTTATAAGTGGTGACGATGTGACTTTAGCCTGGGCCTGCCACATCCTGAAACCCCCTTTAATCATTCCTGTGACTGGGCCTCCGTAAATGTTGGATGAGCAAATGGGTAGGTAGATAAATGAATATTTAAAATGAATTTTTGAACCACTCATTATTTTAGCAATAAATGGGGAAGACTGAGGACTGGATATTAGATACTATTATTTTTAATTTTGTTAGGTATAATAATAGTATTGTGGCTATAAAGGAAAATGTTCTTATGTTTTATAAGTGTTTGTCAAAATGTTGAGGATGAAATGTCATGATGTCTGTGATTTAAAGTACTATAATAAAATTTGATGAAGCAAATATGGGAAAAATCAGCAGTTGTTAAAGTAGAGAATGTTAAGTAAACCACTCTCCCTACTCTTCTGTATTTTTAAAATTTTATAATCAAATGTAGAAAGATAAAGTGATTTATTTATTAGCAGTAGTAAACATTGCCCAAAATAATAATACTGCCCATATGTTTTAATAATCTAGATTATTGGGAAAATTTGGTGTCTCATTAATATAATAATTTACTGAATATATATTATCTGCTAAAGGTTTTGATGCATTTTAGAACCATAGATTGAAATCCCTTTGTTTTATAGTTGAAGATACTGAAACTTTATCAATGTCAGTGATAGATTCTTTTTTAAAATATTTATTCATTTTTGGCTACATCTGTTCTTAGTTGTGTCTTGCAAGATCTTTGTTGTGGTGTTTGGGATCTTTCATTGTGGCACACAGGCTTAGTTGCCCCGGCACATGTGGAGTCTTAGTTCCTGGATCAGGGATCAAACCCACATCCTCTGCACTGGAAGGCAGATTCTCAACCACTGGAGCACCAGGAAAGTCCCAGTGACAGGCATTAGCCTTCAGTCCCTTGCTAAAGAGCCTTCCTCCCTTTACCCCAGGATTTTACCTTTGGAAAAGTAAAGTGATTTACTTTTTTATCTGAAAATATATTTTTTGTATTATGTACTTGTTATAATATGATCATTGGCTTCCCTGGTAGCTCAGCTGGTAAAGAATCTGCCTGCAGTGCAGGAGACCCCAGTTTGACTCCTGGGTCCAGAAGATACTTGGACTTGTTTCCCACTGTGTATTCCAATACCATGTACACACACACACAATGTATCTGTTTTACATCTTATATCTCCTCACTTTATAGATGAAAAGAGTATTGCTTCTCCTTTATAGGTAGAGAAGGTTTTTAGTGATTACTTATAGGGTAGCCAAACCTGAAATAAGAGTTGTCGCTTTCTGGTTATGTGGTCTCATGGTGCTAAAAATCCATATATGAATACAGCGTCTCTGTCTCAACAGGCTTCTGATGGAAGCAGCTCCAGAGAAGATCTTTCATCCCAGCTTTTGAGAAGGAATGAACAAATACGGAAATTAGAGGCCAGACTTTCTGGTATGTCCAGGAACTCATAAGAAGCAACCAAGGGAAAATTGCCTTGCACCTGACCCTCTCTCCCTATTAAAAAGCCACATAGCATAACCTTACAGTTATTCTGACATAATTTGATCTTTTTAGTCAAAAAGGAGCAACTTGTACCCCCTTTGTTTCCTTCTTTTGTTAGTGTATTGAATAGTGTAAATCCAAAACTGAAGTTTTAAAGTTAAAAAAAAAACTTCCCTTTTTCTGCTCCTGAGATTTCTAGCTGTGGATATAAATGTGTTAAAAATTGCCTGTAGATTTAGCCATCTTTCTTCCATTGGCCAAGCTTGCTTCAGGAGGAAAGGGCTAGGGATAGCATTTTCATGGAATGGTCTACAGATACTGGATTCTTCAGCACCAGACATGGTTTGGTGCTACATTGCCACTTGCTGAGATACATATCACCTGTGTAATATCATTTCTGGGTCTTTGGGCTACTCTTTAGTGGTATTTTGAACTTCAGCACCTGTATAGAAGCTGTAACTCTCATTATGTCTTTTGTGTGCAGTTTACAATTTACACAACTCCCATTATATTCTTTGCCTGAGCAGGGCATGTCAGTCATAGAGTTGTGAGTTCTTATTTTGGTTTCTGCCAGTGGATACATTTTGAAAGCTTCAGGCTGTGAAGTGGTCAGTAGTTTCTGTGTGTGTTTTTGTCCCTTGACCTTATGCCCATTTTACTGGAATGAAAGCAGCAGACTACAGAATTCACCAAGTTGTATGTGAGATATTTGTGTGTGTGTAATTACCAAGGCCCATAGTGTAACTCACAGCTACTAGACAGCCCATTATCTCATTTTGTTCTCGCTCTAGGCTAACAAGACTTAGTGAGATTAAAGTCACTCAGGTAGTAGGTGGTAGAGCTGGAATTCAAACCCAGATTTGCTTGATGCTAGAGTCCCTGCTTTTCACTACAGTCTGCTTGAAACTCAAGTGTTATTATCCTATGACCTCTGCCTGTAAGCAGTATCAGTAACAGGGGTGAAATAACTTTACACTTGTTCAGTGTTGGGGAGAAAGCTGTAAGGTAATATACATCTTCCCTAAATTGTTTGGGCTTGACTGATGTTAGAGGAGGGACAGGCAAGAAAACTGACATTAATTAAGTGCATTTATGTCCTAGGCTCAGTATGAATAAGAACAACCACAATAGCAGCTACTCTTTATTGAGCATTGTGTCCCACTTGCCTAAAGCACTTAGTTTATTATCTAATTAAGGCAATAGAACATTTCATTTATTATCTAATACGTCCTTTGTGGTAGATACAGTTAATACCATAATTTCATAAATGAAGAAACTAATACTTAGGATCAGTAATTTGCTTAAGGTCTCTCAGCTAAGGACTGACTCAGTTGGGATTTGAACTAGAGCCTGTATACTTTTCCACTGTATCATACTATCTTCTTTGGCTACCCTGGTAATTAATTCTGACTTTCACCTTTAATATGGCATAGGCCACTCAGTTCTGTGGCTGACTTTATTCCAGAGAGTTCAGTAAGGAAAGGAAGCTGACTTTATTCTAGAGAGTGCAGTGCTTTTATTGCAGAGGCCCTGCTGTGGTAAGGTTTTGCTGTTGTCCTGACCACTTTCACTCAGTCGTGTGGACTGTACATGAGCTGTTCAGTGAGTTCCCTTTGATCTGTCCTACTGCCAAGAATGGGAAGGACAGTGTAAACTGATATTTGAAATTCAGTAATGAGATAATAGTGGTTTTCGTGGCAGGGCATTTGTGATGACCAGACCAGGTCCAATTCTTGTTCTTTCTCTAGGCTAAACAAATCTGCCTGTTTGTAGTCAGCATGTAGTCAGCACTTACACTGTGGGTAGTTTGTACTATACTTGTTTGCCTGTGTTGTTCATTGTTAATGGGAGGCTGTCTGCCCGGCTTTCCTTAACAGGAATGGTTTTCAGGTTGAGAAAATCATCATCATTTTTCATTCATTTTTTTTGTTTGTTTTGTTTTGTTTAATTAACTTCCTTTCCTGATGTTTGTCCATGCCTGGTATGTGCGTCACCCTCCTCACCCAAGACTATGCTGAACAGGTCCGCACCTTGCAGAAGATAAAAGAGAAGCTTGAAATTGCCTTAGAAAAACACCAGGATTGTACGTATTTTTTTTCCTGCTTTTTTCAATCTTTCCAGAGTTTAGTTTTTTGAAACAAAACAGTAGTGTATGGTTAACTTTGCCTTTCATCATAGCTCAAATCTTTATTATATGAGTAGCATACTTCTTAATTGAGTTGACATTTATCTGATGGTTATAAACATATAATTCATACTTATGGGCATGTTTCCTAGGAGAAGGATGTTATGTGTATCATCCAGTTGACTGGTTTTTGGGCTGCCCTTGGATATTAGGAAAGTCTAGTGCCTATCCATGGGCCTAGATTAAGAAACTTTGGTTCTAGCCATAGCTAGAACTTTGTAACTGCTATGTTCAATAACTGGGAGAAATCTCTGTCTTCACTCCTCCAACAACAGGACATATATTTTGTTTAGTTTACCCTAAATTATATGTTTTCCTTTGGGTTCAATCCAAGAAAGATGCTAGTAGAAGTAGAAAGGTATTTTTTTGGACATAATGTATGCTAAAAAAATTTTTTAAGGAAAAGTGAAAGAAAGGTTTGTTTTGCTTTGTTTTGACTTTTGTTTTAATTTATTAAATAGTAGTAGCCATCGCTTAGCAATAGCACTGGTGTTTTCTGGCAGGCTACCTGACTCAGTGTTCTATCACCGTATCATTTTAAAAGTACCCTTTGACATCTTCCTAAATACTTGACAGCAACAACAGCGAACAATAGGAAATAAGCTAAAACAGAACTGAGGTCTGTTACTAAGGCCAAAAGTTTCTGGGAAAGTCAAGATGGGTCAGGTTTTTCCCAGTCTCATAATCCACTTTTGTGACATGACCTTTTTTGTTAGGTGACAGTTATAATCACATGGGCTATTTGTCATGCTGTTTCTGAAATATCTCCATATCTCAAATAGAGCCTCTTTATTAACAGCTTCCATGCGGAAATTTCAAGAGCAGAATGAGACATTCCAAGCCAACAGAGCCAAAATGGCAGAAGGACTGGCTTTGGCATTAGCCAGAAAGGACCAGGTATTTTATGTGTGGCACTGCCCAAAACTGGTGGAAAAATTTCACTTAGTGACGTGATTTCAAAACTCATGCCATAAACCTGGTAGAAAATATTTACAATCTAGGAGAAAAGGAATGTGCTATGTAAGTTCTTTGAGAGTTTGTTTTGCTGTAGGGTGGGAAATTATCCAGAAACTTTATACTTATGATCATGAAATATGTCCATATGTGAGAGTATCCTTTTCCAACTGTGTAGCTGTGTAAAATAGAGAAGGTAAGGAAGTAGTGTGTCCATAATCTGGTTGTGAGCCCCAAGATAAGGGGAAAAAAGTCTCTGCCCTCAAAAAACCTGTCTGAAAGCCTAGTCCCAAAGCACTTGCCTTGATAATGCAGAAGGTGCTATTAATCTAGCAGTCATCCATGATGTACATAGTCCTTACAACCTCTGTCCCAAGTTTCTTCATCTCCAGCCAGCTAGACTGAGAGGAACTTCTGTAACCTCAATAGAACCATCCATTGAAAGATGCTGAATAAATGACAGTAGAAAAGGAAAATAATACTATTACTGGTTATTACAGTAATTATAAAGTTTATTTTGTTCAGTGGCATTTTAAATTTAAGATAACCATCAAATATTGTAATGATTGTGGAGAAGGAAATGGCAACCCACTCCAGTATTCTTGCCTGGAGAATCCCAGGGACAGGGGAGCCTGGTGGGCTGCCGTCTATGGGATGGCACAGAGTCAGACATAACTGAAGCATCTTAGCATGCATGAATGCATTGGAGAAGGAAATGGCAACCCACTCCAGTAGTCTTGCCTGGAGAATCCCAGGGACAGAGGAGCCTTTTGGGCTGCCGCCTATTAGGTCACACAGAATCGGACTCAACTAAGGCGACTTAGCATGCTTGCATTGTAATGATAATTTTGATTTATTAAGACAGGGTCAATATATTATATTACATTGCATTGAAGAAAACACATACTTTGTTTCATCTGCAGTAAGTGCTTGGGTTGTTTTACAGTGTGTATTAGTCATCTCAGTCATTAACCAGCTAGGAAAAAACATCATTCACCAATACTTAGTTAATAACTGTGGTGTGAATGTATATAAATGAAGAGATAATCTAGCATTGGTGGACTTAATTTTAGGCATTTAGGATATAGCCTTTTGTCCCAATCATTATTTTTTCCTCTCTTCTGTGATTAGTGAATAAAAGGCATAATCCTTTCTTCTCTAACTTTTACCAGAGGGCATGAAGGATACTGGTAAAAATTAAAATGAGAAGGAAAATAATGATCAGGGGCTGCTGAAGACCACCCTCTTCACCTCTTTTTCAGTAAATTAATTTTTAAGTATGAGTTGCAGAGTTACCAACTCAGCTGCTCCCGGCTACCCACTCCTAAGAAATAATAACTACTCAAAGACAGAGACTCAGAAAGAAGCTGAAAGCTGCATCAGAAGAGCTCTATAGCTTTATGTGCTCTGCTTAGGAAAAGTTTGCAGACTTATATTTGTGCTCTAGAATTTTATATAAAATTCATTTTCTTCTCCTTTTAGGACTCTTGGCTTTCTTACTATTAAGCCAATATCATGTTTTTTTTTAATGTGCTATTTTGTTTGGTTGATATATTTCTTTGGGTGAAGTGGGAGTGTTATTTTGTTTTCTGAAAATCTTGATTTTATTGATACTCTTGCCTGGAAACTGTACTTCTTTATTGTTTTGTTTTAGGAATGGTCAGAAAAAATGGATCAGCTTGAAAAGGTTAGTTCATCTTATTTTTGTCTCCTTGTGAATATTGGCCTCTTCTCTGGGGCTTAGAAAATGCTTTCTCCAGTACCTAGTACACTGTTACCACTTCTTGAAGGCAGGGTGCCAGGTGATTAGACACTGACTTGGAAAGCTCTTGTCTTTGTTTTTCTTGGTGGGTGTGCTGGATATCTGCTGTTTGCCCCTCTTGGCGTCCTCTCTACCCATCTCCTCCCTTTCTCTGTGCCTGAAGGCCCATAGGGACTGCATCAGCAGGGCTCCATTGCCCTCTGGCTTGTAACTGAGGGTGCCAGTGGGGAACACCGAAAGAGCTGGGTGGAAGAGTGTGATCAGAAGTTTATTCCCCCAGCCATCTCCATGTGAGGTCCCTTCTACTTGATTGCGTCCCATGGCCAAAGGTTCCAGCTTCAGTTTTACCTTTGGTTCGCCCTCAGATATAGTTCCTCTTTCTGTGTTTCTTATAACCTGTTTATCCCTTTGCCCCCTTTATGCCCAACTGCTCCAAGCACATTATCTCTTTTGGATTTTCTTACCCCACCCACAGCTTTAAAAAGTCTCTATTAGACTCTCCAAAATCCCTAATTTGAGTCTGTTTCCTGCTAGAGCCCTGACTGACACAGTGGTAACACTGGGAATACTTTTTGAGAATGTAGTGGGGAAGGAGGACATTTCTGAAGGCTGAGCAGATAAGAGAACTTCTTAGCTAGACATAGATGAGAAGAATTGATTATTCCAGCACCATGACATTGTGTAGGTGCCTTATGTAATGTGTTCCTGGCTCTTGAGACATGAACAGGAAGATGAAATTTCACACCTACAATTAGAAACACATTTTAATTTAAAATAATCAATTGTCAGTTTGCTCAACCCAGATTATATGCTGCTTCCTAATTCATTCCTTCTTTTCATTGAGTACTAACTTACTCTTTATGATAGAAAATGATTTCTCAGATTGATATATTCAACTATAAAATATATTTACTGTTAATTTTATTAAAAGAATGTGTTTTATTATTGCACCATTCTTGGGATAAAACACCAATTAAACCAGCAGTTTTCTTTGTGTGTTCTAAAGAAATCTGATTATGCAAGCTATCAGAATGCCTTAACGTATTTACGTAAGGGAAGAATTACAGAAAAGTCAAGCTGTCTCCCAAAGAAACTTGTGCTTAAAAAAAATATGTATATATACACATACATACATATATATAAACATGGTGTTAATGATGATCCTCTTAAATATAAAGGTATGGATTAGGTTAAAGTTTTCTTGTCTTAAAAGAAGCTCTTTAAAAAAAAAGAAGAAGCAGCTTTTAAGATGGTAGCAGTTAAATTCTTATTGGACTATTTTTTCATTTTTGAAGATTGTGGTAAAAGAGGATGCATATAGGATTAAAGTGAATAAAACCTACTTCAGTTCACTAAGAGCTCTTTTCTCCCCACCCCCTCACCCCCACAGGAGGAGCTGGGAAAGGTTTTAGACCAAGAAAGAGTAATGAGACATCTATGTAGTCTTTTAAGCCATAGTGAGTTTGGAAAATTTTTTTTAGAGTTTTAATGTCTTTTCAATCAAGAATTGGAAACTGCAATAGCCAGAGTTTGTCCTGAAGAGAATTCATCTTGGGAATAGTAAATTGTAACTTCCCAGCACCAGTCATGTCTAGTTTTTGTTGACTTGTTGTCTGAATATATTAACTGAAACCGGTTCTACTTAAATCCATCTAATGTCTTAAGAGAATCAGTCTTATTCCAGTTATGCATGTTATTCAACCAGTTCAGTATGTCACTGAGCTAGACTTGTCAAATGGATATCTGGAATTGCTAATCAAATAGAAGCACTTCAAATGTTAAGCTTTTGGAGCTCTTCTTCCTCTTTCCACAACTATCATTTAAAAAAAAATTCGTTTCTACCTTAAAAAATTTGTAGGTAATTTTGTAAATAATTACCATAAAGCTTCCCATTATCCATGTATTATTGCTACTGACAAGAGATTGCCTGAAGGTTTTCCATTGTTAAGAATTCTGGTTATATAATACAAATTTCTCATGTCCTGGTTGCCTGAGCTAATGTCTTCTTCTTCTGCATAGGATAAAAGGTTTCTGACAGCTCAGTTACAGGAAATGAAGAACCAGAGTTTGAATCTTTTCCAAAGAAGAGATGAAATGGATGAATTAGAGGGATTCCAGCAACAGGAACTAAGTAAAGTAAAGCACATGGTGCGCATTTTTGTCTTAGAAGCTAAATCCTCAGTAGATGATTAGTTACTATGATTTTGCTAGTCCTGACTCTAACTGCTGATAAACATACCTTAGTTGTCTTTGATATTTATCCTATTTGTATGTCTTTCAGTTTATTAAAATAGAGAAGTTCTGTTTGATATGTCTTTCATTTTTCTTTTTAAACTACTGGGCCTATAAGATCGCTTCTAAGCTCACAAAAATGTTATAAAAACTTGCCTTACTGGTCCAGATTTTTAAAATTTCAATTTTTGTTTATTTATTTGACTGTGCTGGGTCTTAGCTGTGGCTTGTGAACTCTTAGTTGCAGCATGTGAGATCTAATTATCTGACCAAGGATCAAACCTGGGCATCCTGTATAGGAAGCGCAGTCTTAGCCTCTGGACCACCAGGGAAGTCCTTGGTTCAGACTTTTTTTGTAAGTGTATTTCTTAGTAGTAGCCCAGTGAAACTTCATGTCTTTGTATCAGCTTTTAAAAAAAGAAGAAAGCTTGGGGAAAATGGAGCAAGAATTGGAGGCACGAACCAGAGAACTTAGTCGCACCCAGGAGGAATTGGTGACGTCCAGCCAGATTTCGTTAGACTTAAGCCAGAAGCTGGAAGAACTGCAGAGACACTACTCAGCGCTGGAAGAGCAGAGGTTCTTGCTTGGTCTGTGGGGCCCATGGGAAGCGGTGTTAGTGTAGCTCTGGCTTGAGCCTACGTGTCTTCCCCCATTGCTCACTGTGGCACTTTCTGATCTTAGTTCCTGCAAAGTCTTCTGGATTTGTCCGTTCCCAAACCCTCACTCCTCTGACCTGCTGAGCTCAGGACACCTCCAACCCTGCCAAGCAGTTTAGATTGTTTTAGTTGCTAAACTGTTGAGTAGCTAAAGGCAGATCAGGATTTCTTGTTCAAACCTGGGTATAATTTTTCTTTTGGGACTTCTGCTTCAGAGAGAGTCAGGGAGTCTTATCCATGGATAATCTTCACATGGCTAATGTTTGCAGCCCTGACATGTAAAGAACCATGTGTATTTTTCCTGTGAAAGAATGTGTCTTAGATGAGATATTCAAATGTGTTCATTATCTGCTTTCTTTCAATGAAGAGATCGTGTGACAGCTTCGAAAACAGGTGCAGAAAATAAGATCACAGTCCTGGAGCAAAAGGAACAGGAGCTCCAAGCATTCATTCAGCAACTTTCCATTGATTTGCAAAAGGTAAGAAGAGTACTAGGAATGGACCCAAGTTCCTAGGATTCATGTATGGGGTAAAAACTAAACCTGCAGAAATTTCTGCATCAGGATGTCTGGTGAAACTTGAGTTTCTCGTGCAGCCCACATCGCCCTAGTTCCTGGTGTAACAAGTCTGCCTCCAGATGGGCTTAGTTGCCTCACAACAAGGAGCACCCAATAAATAGATCTTATACAAATGAATGACTGTGTTACAAGGTTCATCTCCACATCACACAGAAAATCTAGATATCTATAGTGTTTTGTCTCCAAAGCTTACTGTTTCCTTATAGAACTCAAACTTTCTGTTTGACAAGAAAAAAATTCACATCTCAGGAAGTCCCAAATAAGTGAAATAGATTTTTCAAATGCAGGAGGTGTGCCATAGGGAGAGTGCATTTCCAGAGTTCAAGGGACTCTTCCTGCAGTGATTGAAGTTTCAAGGATGGGTAGGACAGCCCAAAAACAAAAGATACAGAAGGGTGCAGAATACACTTGGGACTTTGTGGGTAGAGAGGATGACAGACATAAAGCTTTGGGTTTTGTGGGACTGTTTGATATCAATTAGAACCATCCATTCATTTCATAATTGGAAAAACTAACTTTCCAGACTCTGGTCCCACTAAGTTACCTCATTCATTCTAAAACTATAATTTGAGCTTTATTATGTATCAAGCACTGTGCTCTGTGCTAGGTGTTTATTAAATACTAGGCTGAGCAAAACAGATATCAATCACCCTTGCCCTTGCAGAACTTAGTCTAGAGGAGCAGTGAGACATTAATCAATAATCACATAGATAATTGCAAACTATGATGCATGCTGTGAAGGAAAACTACAGGATGCTGTGCGATCTTTTAAGACGGCATCAAATCAGGTCTAGTGTTGAAGTCACAGAATACTTCCCTTGAGGAAGTAATGCTTGAACTGAGATAAACTGCTGAAGCAGGTGGGTGGGTGTGGGGGGTGGAGGTGATGGCAGAGAATTTTAAATAGAGAATAGCACAAACCATAAACCCAGACATCTGAAGGCAGTAAAGTGAGTGGCACCTTCAAGGAAGTGGAAGAAGGCTGGAAGGGTAACACATTAAGGGAGTGAGTTGCTTGGCTGTTAGAGGAAACACTGAAATGGTTTGCAGCTGGAAGCTCTTGCATTGTCCGGGCATAACATGGTGGCTTTGACAAGAGTGGAGGGTGGAAATAATGGGAGAGAAGACAAATTTAAGAAATAGATAAGAGAGGAGCCAGAGTAAAAGAGGTGTTAGGGGTGATTACTGGGTTTCTAGCCTGATCAGCTAAGTGGCCGATGTTGTCAGTCATCAGGCTAAGAGAGCACTAGAGGAAGGGCAGTTTCCTCATAAAAATGAATTTAGAGTCAGTTTCTGTGTTGTCCTTGTTAACATTGAGTAGATATGAAATGGTATTTATGACAGGTAAGTAAGATCAAGAGTGTAACAAGCCAATGGACCCCCACGTAGCTACTCCCCCCGCCTGCCATGTTAAGAAACGGAATGTTCACCTTTGAGATTCTCAGTGTGCCCTTTCTCTTCTATCCCATTTCTTTCTTAAGTCAGCCTATCCAGAAATTATTCCACTTCTTTGCTTTATAATTTTATCCCTAAACAGCATCTTCTTTCCTGTATCATGCTTGTTCAGTCACCAAGTCATGTCCAACTCTTTGCAACCCCATGGACTGCAGCTCACCAGGCTTACGAAATGCTGTAGGCTTATGAAATACCACCTTTCTGTGCTCAAGATTATATTCCTGAGACACATTCATATGGACACATGCCACTATAAGTTAATCTTTTCTCAACTGTATAGTATGAAATTACTAGAGTTTATTTATCTGTTCTGTTGACAGTGAACATTTTTTCTGCTTCTTTACTTTCGCAAACAAGGCTGTTGTGAACTTTTGTCTGCCTGTGAAAGTGTTAACTCTGGGGACTTCCCTAGTAGTCCAATGGCTAAGACTCCACGTTCCCAGTGCTGGGGGCCCAGGTTAATCCCTGGTCAGGGAACTGGATCCCACATGCCACAACTGAGACCTGGCACAGCCAAATAAATAAAAATTAAAAAAAAAAAAAAAAAAGAAGAGTTAACTCTGGGGTCTGTTTGAGATGTGAAAAGTTTGGGTCAAAAGATTTGTACTTTTCAACTCTCTTAGATAATGCCCAGTTTTTTCCATAGCAGTGGTAGTAATTGACAAACTTGTACCAATGGAGTATGAAAATTTGGGTTGCTCTGCTTCCTTGACAAGGTGGGATATTATCAGACCTTTAATTTTTGCCAGTCTGGTGAACGTGAAATGCATCTTTAGATTTTCTTACTGTACGTCTTATAGGATCTTAGTTCAGGATTAAACCCAGTAGTGACAGCAAGGAGTCTTTACCACTGGACCACCGGAGGATTCCCTCTCACCATGATTTTAATTTGCTTTTCTCAGATTATTAATGAAGTTGAGCATCTTTTTATGTGTTTATCCATTGTTTTCGCTCTTCTGTGAAGTGCTGGTTCAAATCTTTTGCCCATTTTCTATTGCATTTATGTCTTTCTCTCATTAATTGTTGGAATTCTTTATATATATACTGGCTACCATGCTCCTTTGTCAGCTGTACGGGTTGCAAATATCTTCTCCCAGTTTGGAGTTTGTCATCATATGCTACAGTTTCTTCTGTTGAATATAAGCTTTTCATTTTACTATAGTTGAATTTATTGTTTACCTTTAAGTTTATACTTTTGTCTTTTTTAAAAAATCTAACAAAAGAATCTTTCCTCACTCAGAATTATAACATTATTCTCCTATATTATTTTCTGAAAGTTTTATAGTTTTGACTTTGTTTTTAGGTCTTTAATATGCCTGAAATGTGGTTTTGCTGTGAGAAAGGGAGCCGTGTCTTTTTTTTTTTAATTGTTTCAGTACCATTTACTGAAAAATCTGTTTTCTCACTGATCTGAAATGCCAGCTTTATCACAATTCAGTTTTGCATTTGTACATGGAACCACTCCTGGACTTTGGGGTGTATGCCACTGTGGTATTTCCACAATACTATGCATTGCCTTACTAGCTACAGTGTTAGCATAAGTTCTGGTGTCTGACAAGATAAGCCTCCCAACCCAGTTCTTTTTTAGGGATATTTTGAATATCCTTGGCCCACTGCTGTCCCACAGAACAAGTTGTCAGGCTGTTTAAAAAAACCTGGTGGGATATTGATTGGAAGTACATTGAATCTGAAGATGCATTTGGGGAGCATTGATTACTTTATCATGTGAGTTTTCTTATCCAAGAGCATGATCTCTGTGACTCTAGATATTCAGTGTTGTTGTTTCTTTAAAAATGACTTTCAACAACCTTCTATCATTTTTCCCATAAAGGTTTGTTATCCTAGGTGCTTTATTTTTTACACCAATCCTAAATTTTTAAAAGTATTTTTTGTATTGGTTGCTGGCATGTAGAAATATTTATACATTAATTTCTCACAACTTAATAACTCTTATTAAGCTTAATAGTGGATCTGTAGAGTCTAGCAATCATTTCATCTGCAAATAAAAATGGTTTCTTTCTTTCTTTCCTGTACCTTTTTTGTCTTTGCCTTGAGCTGTTTGTTTTCTTATTTTTGAGGGTTTTTTTAATTGTTGAATCATAAAATGAGTTTTTTTTAATATGTTTTAGATAAAGGCCTTTGTCACATGTGTCTTTTGCAAATATTTTCTCCTAGTCTTTGGTTTGTCCTTGTCTTCTCATTCTCTTGACACTGTCTTTTGCAGAGCAGAAGCTTCTCATTTTGATGAAATCAACTTGTCAGTTATTTCATGGATCATGGCTTTGGTTTTGAAATTAACAAATCATTGTCATATCCAACGCCATCTAGGTTTTCTTCTATGTTATCTTCTAGGAGTTCCATAGTTTTGAGTTTTATATTTAGGCCTGTGAGCCACTTTCAGTTAATTTTTATGAGCAGTGTAAAGTCTGTGTCTACATTTATTTTTTTTTGCATGTGGGTATCCAATTGTTCTAACACCTTTTGTTGAAGGAGCTGACTTTGCTCCATAATATTCTTTTGTTCTTTTGTCAAAGATCAGTTGACTGTATTTGTGGGGGCTCTACTCAGTTCCATTGACCTTTTTGTCTGTTCTTTTGCCAGTATCATACTGTCTTAATTACTGTAGCTGTAGTAAGTCTTAAAGTCCAATAGTGGCAGTCCTGACTTTATGCTTCTTTAGCATTGTGTGGCTGTTCTGGGTCTTTTGCCCCTCCATATAAAGTCAGTTTGTTGATGTCCATAAAATAACTTGCTGGGATTTTAATTTTTATTGCATTGAATCTATATATCAAGAACTGATCTTGGCAAGAACTGATTCATTGACAATATTGAGTCTTTCCTATCCATGAACATGGAGTATCACTCCATTTACTTAGTTTTTAAAAATTGCATTGATCAGAGTTTTAGTTTTCCCCATGTATATCTTACACATATTTTGTTAGATTTATACCTAAATACTTCATTTTTGGAGTCTTACTATAAATAGTGTTTTTATTTCAAATTTTACTTGTTCATTGTTGGTATATAGGAAAACAATTAAATTTTATATAAATGAGGAAACAATGGAAACAGTGACAGACTTTATTTTCTTGGGCTCCAAAATCACTGCAGATGGTAACTGCAGCCATGAAATGAAGAGACGAGTGTCTTGGAAGAAAAGTTATGACCAACCGAGGCAGCATATTAAAAAGCAGAGATATTACTTTGCCAACAAAGGTCCATCTGATCAGTGCTGTGGTTTTTCCAGTAGTCTTGTATGGATGTGAGAGTTGAACTATAAAGAAAGCTGAGCGCCAAAGAATTGATGCTTTTGAACTGTGGTGTTGGAGAAGACTCTTGAGAGTCCCTTGAACAGCAAGGGGATCAAACCATCCATCCTAAAGGAAATCAGTCCTGAATATTCATTGGAAGGATTGATGCTGAAGCTGAAACTCCAGTACTTTGGCTACCTGATGCAAGAACTGACTCATTTGAAAACACCCTGATGCTGGGAGAGATTGAAGGCAGGAAGAAAAGGGGACGACAGAGGATGAGATGGTTGGATTGCATCACCGACTCAATGGACATGAGTTTGAGCAAGCTCTGGGAGCTGGTGATGGACAGGGAAGCCTGGCATGCTACAGTCCATGGCATCACAAAGAGTCAGACATGACTGAACAACTGAACTGAACTGACTGAACTGTGTATCCAGCCATCTTGATATAATCACTTTTAAGTTCCAGGTTTTTTTGTTGTTGTTGATTCATGTGGATTTCCTATGGAAATGATTATATCATCTGCAGACAAAAGCAGCTTTATGTTTTCCTTCCCTATCTCCATTCCTATTATTTCTTTTTCTTGCCTTATTGCATTAGCAAGGACTTCCAGATGATGTTAAAAAGAAGTGGGGAGAGGGGACATCCTATCTTTGTATCTGATCTTAGTGGGAAACCTTTGAGTTTCTCACCATTCAGTGTGGTGTTAGCTGTAGCACATTAAATGCTGAGGGCTTGAAGTAGAACATCCAGAGGTGGGGAATCACTCCATGTGGGATATAGTGCATAAGAAAACTAACCGGAAATTGGCAACTGATTCTTTCTTCTGTCCCTGACTCTGCCCTACACAGTGACTTATATGAGACTTATTTGTTCTTTTGGTTTTTACTGGAAAGGGTCAACTATATTTCTCAGTTCATATTGATGTGTAGTGGACGTAGTACAGGCTTTGAATTAGGAAGGCTTGCTTGGGTTTTGAATCCTTATTCTATCAGCATGGTGTGTGTTACTGGGCTGGTTCCTAAACTTCAGTTTCTCTGTAAATGGTCAAGTAAAGGGTGATTGTAAGAACTAGAGGAGTGGAAAGTGCTTGCACATGCTCTGCAAACTGTAGCTGCTCCTGCACCATACTGTTTCTCATTCTTGTTGTCAACATTATTAGTAAGAGACCCATTAAAGATAGGTCAGCCTGGCCAAAACTGCATTTCTTTCCTATCAAACTCCCTCTTACCCGTGTTTTCTCTGCCTTGCATAATATTACCATTCAACTAGGCATCTGAGCCACAGGCTTAGGAGTTGTCTTCCCTTCTTCCTTCCTCTCTACCTAGCCTCCTGGTCATGTTGAACTTGTCTGTTTACCCCTTTACACACACTGCCTTTTACCCAGAAAGCTTGTTCCTCTTCCCCACCTTCTACCTGGACTTGCCTGCTTAGGAGGCCTGATCAGATTGCTGGGTTAATCCCTTCTGCCTCTGATGTCTCCTGGCACCTTATGTGTCCCTCTGTTGCAGCATGATTGTATTGTTTTATAATTAATTACATGTATATCTCTGCCACCAGCCTCCATGCTTCTTTGGGTCAGTAGCTCTAGTTGATTATACCCCTGGGAGACAGAACAAAGAGTATAGGGTTGATCACAGTTTATTGCAGTCTTGAAACCATTCTTCAGTTCTGCTCTAATATATATGTTGTCGCCTCTGTGAGAAATCAGAATGGCAAATGCTTCTTTGTGAAACCTTGGACCCAAGTAGCTGCATCTTATTCTGAGGAGAGAATTGGCTGAGTTGCAGTCTAAAGTTTGTGGCTTGAGTTTGAGCAGTAGAGCATAAAGTGAGGGAATTTGAGGAAGTGAATTATATGTGAGGAGGTTCTAGTCTTCACAATGAAATGTTGATGCTGTACGACCTTATTTTGGAGTGAAGAATGGGCATCTTCAGTGAATGTAAGAACCAGTGAAGAGCTAAGAAATGATATAATGAAAGCTTCCTGGATCCTCAGTTTTGATGTTGCGCAGCATTGAAGATTGGCAGTACTTAAAGGAACAAAGTTAGTCCCCACCTACCACCACCATCACTACCATCATTGCTGAAGAGGTAGACATGTGGGCAGCTGTGTGCCTGGGGCCATGGTGTACGGTGCTGCTGTGTGTCATTCACCTGTGGTTGCTGTGTTGTGAGCCAGGGTGAATACCATCGTTTGTTTCAGTTCTCTCTTCAACCTGAAGACAGCTACATTTGTCATTTTAACGCTTCATCTAACCACCTGTTTCCAAGCATATTCTTCTGTAGGTCATTATAGGATTGGCTGGGAGCTTGAGTGGAATTACCTCTGCTGGTTCTTGGCATCTGGTATAAAGTTGTAGGTCCTGTTGGACTCTGGATTAGTAGAGTTAAACCTATGCTTGATGGGAGTGGGAGGAGCATTCCTTTAGCTGGTAGATCACGACAATACAAAGGTTATTTTAGAGAGGAGGAACATCTTTATAGCATCTTGGCTAGATTCCACAGAGGCAATTGCATCCTTCCTTCCCAGTCGTCAGTTGCTTAAATTGGGAGCATTTGCTGCTTACTGCACTAGGCCTGAAACAGATACCCAAGTGGTATTGGGTTCTGATCTTGTATCTTTTCTGATCCATTTTCAGGGAAGATTTCTTGGCTATATGCTCTCCTAGGATGCAGTTGGAAACAGAATTTCGGAGACACATGATGATTCTAGGGGAGACAGTTAGGGAGGGAAAGAAAGGGTAACATAATCTCTCCTTTCACCTGCAGGTCACTGCTGAAACTCAAGAGAAAGAAAAACTCATCACACACTTGCAGGAGAAGGTTGCATCCCTGGAGAAGAGACTAGAGCAGAATCTCTCAGGGGAAGAACATGTGCAGGAACTTCTGAAAGAGGTAACTAGTCTGGAGTAAACCTCAAACTTAAATTCCCCACCCCTACCCAGATAAGTCAAATGCCACTGTCTGAATGACTCCACTCTGAAAAATAACTGCTTACAGAATTAAGTTCAAGCTTCCTTCTATAACATAAAAGGCTTTTCTCATGATCTGGCCCTTTGTCTAATTTTCCAGTCTTGTTTCATGACCTGAACCAGTCATCACTGTGACTTTCAGGAAGCTATAGTTCCCCAGATGTCCCCTGCTATTTCACATGTCTAGTGTCTTCCCTAGAGCCAGATGTCCTGGAGGCTCACCTAGAGCAGGAAATCCTGCAGTCTGAAGTCAACTGGGCCTTAGGAAGCATCACTACGAACAAAGCTAGTGGAAGTGATGAAATTCCAACTGAGCTATTTCAAGTCCTAAAAGATTATGCTGTGAAAGTGCTGCACTCAGTTCAGTTCAGTTCAGTTGCTCAATAGTGTCCAACTCTTTGCGACCCCATGGACTGCAGCATGCCAAGCTTCTCTGTTCATCACCAACTTCTGGAGCTTGCTCAAACTCAGGTCCATCAAGTCAGTGGTGCCATCCAGCCATCTCATCCTCTGTTGTCCCCTTCTCCTCCCACCATCAATCTTTCCCAGCATCAGGGTGTTTTCAAATGAGTCAGTTCTTCACATCAGGTTGCCAAAGTACTGAAGTTTCAGCTTCAGCATCAGTCCTTCCAATGAATATTCAGACTGATTTCCTTTAGGATGGACTGGTTTGATCCCCTTGCTGTCCAAGGGACTCTCAAGAGTCTTCTTCAACACCACAGATCATCAATTCTTTGGTGCTCAGCTTTCTTTATAGTCCAACTCTCAAATCCATACATGACTATTGGAAAAACCATAGCTTTATCAGCAAAGTGATTTCTCTGCATTTCAATATGCTGTCTAGGTTGGTCAAAGCTTTTCTTCCAAGGAGCAAGCGTCTTTTAATTTCATGGCTGCAGTCACCATCTGCAGTGATTTTGGAGCCCAAGAAAATAGTCTGTCATTGTTACTATTGTTTCCCCATCCATTTGCAAGGAAGTGATGGGACCAGATGCCATGATCTTAGTTTTCTCAGTGTTAAGTTTTAAGCCTACTCTTTCACTCTCCTCTTTCACTTTCATCAAGAGACTCTTTAGTTCTTCACTTTCTGCCATAGGGGCAGTGTCATCTGCATATCTGAGGTTATTGATATTTCTTCCAGCATTCTTGATTCTAGCTTGTACTTCATCCATCCCAGCATTTCCCATAATGTACTCTGCATATAAGTTAAATAAGCAGGGTGACAATATACAGCTTTGACGTACTCCTTTCCCAATTGGAACCAGTCTGTTGTTCCATGTCCAGTTCTAACTGTTGCTTCTTTTTTTTTTTTTTTAAACTAATATTTGTTTTTATTTATTTCTTTGACTGTGTTGGGTCTTAGTTGCAGCATGTGGGATCTACTTCCCTGACCAGGGATCGAACCCTGGGCCCCCTGCATTGGGAGCATGGAGCCTTAGCCACTGGACCACCAGGGAAGTCCCTAACTGTTGCTTCTTGACCTGCGTTCAGATTTCTCAGGAGGCAGGTCAGGTGATCTGGGATTCCCATCTCTTGAAGAATTTTCTGCAGTTTGTTATGATCCACATAGTCAAAAGCTTTAGTGTAGTCAGTAAAGCAGAAGTAGATATTTTTCTGGAACTCTCTTGCCTTTTCAATGATCCAGTGGGTGTTGGCAACTTGATCTCTGGTTTCTCTGCCTTTTCTAAATCCAGCTTGAACATCTGTAAGTTCACAGTTCACGTACTGTTGAAGCCTGGCTTGGAGAATTTTGAGCATTACTTTGCTAGTATGTGAGATGAGTGCAATTGGTGCAGTAGTTTGACCATTCTTTGGCATTGCCTTTCTTTGGGATTGGAATGAAAATTGACTTTTTCCAGTCCTGTCGCCACAGCTGAGTTCTCCAAATTTTCTGGCATATTGAGTGCAGCATTTTTATAGCATCATCTTTAGGATTTGAAATAGTCAACTCGAATTATATTACCTCCACTAGCTTTGTTCGTAGTGATGCTTCCTCAGACCCACTTGACTTCGTATTCCAGGATGTCTGGCTCTAGGTGAGTAACCACACCATCATGGTTTTCTGGGTCCTGAAGATCTTTTTTGTATAGTTCTTCTGTATATTCCTGCTACCTCTTCTTAATATCTTCTGCCTCTGTTCGGTCCATACCATTTCTGTCCTTTATTGTGCCCATCTTTGCATGAAATATTCCCTTGGTATCTCTAATTTTCTTGAAGAGCTCTCTAGTCTTTCCCATTCTATTGTTTTCCTCTATTTCTTTGCATTGATCCCTGAGGAAGGCTTTCTTATCCCTCCTTGCTTTTCTTTGAAACAGCCTTGTCTAATTCAATGAAACTATGAGCCATGCTGTGTAGGGCCACCCAAGACGGACGGGTCATGGTGGAGTGTTCTGACAAAACGTGGTCCACTGGAGAAGGGAATTGGAAACCACTTCAGCATTCTTATCTTGAGAACCCATGAACCATATGAAAAGGCAAAAAGAGATAACACTGAAAGATGAACTCCCCAGGTTGGTACATGTCCAATATGTTACTAGAGAAGAGTGGAGAAATAACTCCAGAAAGAGTGAAGAGATGGAGCCAAAGCAGAGACACCCATTTGTGGATGTGACTGCTGATGGAAGTAAAGTCCAGTGCTACACTCAATGTGCCAGCAAATTTGGAAAACTCAGCAGTGGCCACAGGATTGGAAAAGGTCTGTTTTCATTCCAATCCCAAAGAAAGGCAATGCCTAAGAATGTTTACACTGTCGCACAATTGCACTCATCTCACATACTAGCAAAGTAATGCTCAAAATTCTCTAAGTCAGGCTTCAATAGCATGTGAACCGTGAACTTCCAGATGTTCAAGCCAGATTTAGAACAGGCAGAAGAACCAGAGATCAAATTGCCAGCATCCACTGGATCATCGAAAAAGCACGAGAGTTCCAGAAAAACATCTATTTCTGCTTTATTGACCACACCAAAGCCTTTGACTGTGTGGATCACGACAAACTGTGGGAAATTCTTTGAGAGATGGGAATCCCAGACCACCTTACCTGCCTCCTGAGAAATCTGTATGCAGGTGAAGAAGCAACAGTTAGAACTGGACATGGAACAACAGACTGGTTACAACTTGGGAAAGGAATACGTCGAGGCTTTATATTGTCATCCTGGTTATTTAACTTATCTGCAGAGTATATCATGCGAAATGCTGGGCTGGATGAAGCTGAAGCTGGAATCAAGATTGCTCAGAAAAATATCAATAACCTCAAATATGCAGATGACAGCACCATTATGGCAGAAAGCGAAGAGGAACTGAGGAGCCTCTTGATGAAAGTGAAAGAGGAGAGTGAAAAAGTAAGCTTAAAACTTAACATTGAAAAAAACAAACAAAAAAAAACTTAATATTGAGAAAACTAAGATCGTGGCATCTGGTCCCATCACTTCATGGGAAATAGTTGGGGAAACAGTGGAAACAGTGACAGACTTTATTTCCTTGGGCTCCAAAATCACTGCAGATGGTGACTGCAGCCATGAAATTAAAAGACAAGCATCTTGGAAGAAAAGCTATGACCAATCTAGATAGCATATTAAAAAGCAGAGATATTACTTTGCCGACAAAGATCGGTCTAGTCAGTGCTATGGTTTTTCCAGTAATCATGTATGGATGTGAGAGTTGGACTATAAAAATAGCTGAGTGCCAAAGAATTGATAACTTCTGAACTGTGATGTTGGAGAAGACTCTTGAGAGTCCCTTGGACTGCAAGGGGATCCAACCAGCCAATCCCAGAGGAAGTCAGTCCTGAATATTCATTGGAAGAACTGATGCTGAAGCTGAAACTCTAGTACTTTGGCCACCTGATACAAAGAACTAACTGCTTGGAAAAGACCCTGATGCTGGGAAAGACTGAAGGCAGGAGTATAAGGGGACAACAGAGGATGAGATGGTTGCATGGCATCACCAACTCGATGGAAATGAGTTTGAGCAGGCTCCAGGAGTTGGTGATGGACAGGGAAGCCTGGCGTGCTGCAGTCCATGGGATCGCAAAGAGTCATACACAACTGAACTGAACTGAACTGAACTGAACTGAGTGTCCCCCCTCTGCCCAGGTGCTCTGGTTTGGCCCTGGCCAGCTATGAAGAGTCAAACCTCTTCCTTTCCTGAGGCAGTGAGCATCCCCTGGTCTGTACTGCCGCTTTATGAGCACTGTTGCACTCTGTTATATACTGTCTTGGGTTAGTCTTTGTCCCAGCCTCCAAGTCAAAAACCTGTCAAATTTATCTGTGTATACTTCACAATATGTGAATTTTCTCTCTACTGTTTTGGAGTTTTTTGTGTGTATTCATGTTCTTCATGCCTTGCACAAGTCTAATGTGTTGTAGATATCAGTAAATATATATGCAATGGAGAAATGACTATTTCCTTTTTCTCTTCTTTCAACTTACAGAAAACACTTGCTGAGCAGAATTTGGAGGATACCAGACAGCAGCTCTTGGCAGCCAGAAGCAGCCAGGCCAAGGCCATCAACAACCTGGAGACTCGGGTACTGACCTCACTCCTGTGTCTGGGTGGTGCCCTGGTGCCCTTAGATGACATGGTTGCGGCTGAGAATTCCCTTGGATCAGAGATTTTCTTCCAAAGGGTTTCTCTTTTGACTTCTACTTGTAGAGAACTGAGGTAGTCATTTTCTCCATTCTTGCCATATTAGCATCATTCTTCCACAGAAGATTGTCTTCTCTGTTCCTTCCCTTTTGTCTTCTTTCTCCTTCCTCCCATAGGAAACCATTCTAAAGTGGTAAATAGAGCCCTTTTATTGCTGAGTAACCTTGAGAATCCCAGGGACGGGGAGCCTGGTGGGCTGCCGTCTATGGGGTCGCCCAGAGTCGGACACGACTAAAGCGACTTAGCAGCAGCAACAGCAGCAACCTTAAAATGGCTAACATTGTTTTATATGTGTGTTAATTTAGGTAAATGATATAGCTGTACATGAATTTTCCTTGTTACTTTCCACTGCTCCATCTTCTGTGTCCACTTCATTGTTCTTACCTCCTCTACTTCACAGTTATCTGCTGCATGCTAGATATCCAGATTGCCACCTTCTTCCTGTTACCACAGATTACCTTGCAGTGAACATCCTTGTTTCTGTTGCCTTAAGGAGGATAGTGAGTGTGTGTGACCTAACGTGACTCAGTAGGACAGGAATGCTCCCAGAGGGCTGCCCAGGATGCGAGAGAGTTCCTATCGATGCATCTCTGTCTTTTCTAGCATTGGCATTTCTCAGCCTTTTAGTTTTCTTGCCAGTTTCATGAGTGTGAAGTGGTAGAAGTGTCAGGGGATCTCTGTGAAGCCTCTTATAAGAACACTAATTGTATTCATGAGCCTCTACCCTCATGACCTAAGTATCTCCCAGTCACCTCACATCCTAACACCATCACATCAGATGTTAGGAATTCAACATGGGAATTTGGGGGGCACAAACATTCAGACCATAGCAAATGCTTAACTCATTTTTAAAGTCTTTCTTGTTTCTTGGTCAATATTAATATATGTAAAGCTGTATTTTTTCCTAACTGCAGCTTTGTTACCTTTATTGTAATTCACTTCTATTTCTGAATATCTTTTTTATTGTGGTAAAATACACATAAATGTAAATTTTACCATTTTAACCATTTCTAGGTGTACAGTGGCATTAAGTACATTTATGTTTTTGCTCAACCATCACCACCATCCATTTGTAGAACTTTTTCATCTTCTCAAACTACAACTCTGTGCCAATTAAAACAATAACTCCCTGTTCTCTCCTCTCTCCAGCTCCTGGCACCCACCATTCTACCTTCTGTTTTTATCAATTTGATGACTCTAAGTACCTCAAAAACTGGAATCATACAGTTTTTGTCTTTTTGTTTCTGGCTTACTTCACTTAGCATAATGTCTTTAGAGTTCATTCATGTTATAGCATTTGTCAGAATTTCATTACCTTTTAAGACTGAACAAGCCTTTTTTAAGACCTTGATTCCATTCTAGATAGAGCACATGTTATTCATCCATTCATTTGCCCATGGAGATTTCGGTTGTTTCCTCCTTGTGGCTATTGTGAATACTGTTGCCGTGAATGTTAGTGTATGAACAAGGTTTTTGTGTGGGCTTGTACTTTCATTTCTCTTGGGTATATTCCTAGGAGTAGAGTTGCTGGGTCATATGATAACTCCATGCATAGCTTTTTGAGGATCTGAATCTTTCTTGAGTTCTGCCTGCAAACTGGAACTTGCATAGATATTTGCTAAACCCAGGAGTTTAGCAGTTTCAGTCCTGGCTCTGCACTGATAAAATTTGTGGTCATGGGAAAATAACTTTACTATTCTCCTCTGTGGAGGTGCTCACACTGTTCTTGTGGGGTTGTTTCCATGAAAACTTACCTCTGAACATATATGAGGAACCGTGAGGCCTAAAAGACAGAGAAGGCAATGGCAACCCACTCCAGTACTCTTGCCTGGGAAATCCCATGGACGGAGGAGCCTGGTAGGCTATAGTCCATGGGGTCCCGAAGAATCAGACGCGACTGAGCGACTTCACTTTCACTTTTCACTTTCATGCACTGGAGAAGGAAATGGCAACCCACTCCAGTGTTCTTGCCTGGAGAATCCCAGGGACGGGAGCCTGGTGGGCTGCTGTCTATGGGTTTGCACAGAGTCGGACATGACTGACGTGACTTAGCAGCAGCAGCAGAGGCCTAAAAACATTCTTTTCTCATTTGGTACCTCCCTCTCCTTGACAAAGCTGCAACCCTCTATGTGCTTATATTTTAATAATAAAGTTCCCCCAGGGCAGACCTTACTCAGCAAAGACTTTATAGGAGAAATTGGCAAAGTTCGCTTGAGTCAGATGAAACAATCACTTTGGAGGCCAAGCCTCGCTCAGTGCTGGGCGTTGTGTCATCCCATCCACCCTGTGCAGGCCTCGTGTCCTAGCGCAGTGCCAGAGACACAGTCAGACCCGGTCAGTATGTGTGGAATGAGGGAAACCCAAATTTGTCTCATGGGCAGTAATCCCACTTCTGGAAGTGTATCCTAAGGAAGTGATTCAAGCTAGATCAACAATTTTTACATGAAGATATCAACTGCTGCCTCATTTTATCTGCAAAATGGGAAACAGCTGAGTTACCTGGACAGTAGGCAGCGGTTCAGGGAATTATGCAACATCCTTTGAGGAAATAATCTAAGTTCTGAAGGCTACATGGAAATCCAGAAGGAAATTTGAGCACGGAGGAAAAATACAAAGTTTTACTAGAATTGTATACGAAGTTGTAAAAGAAAGTCAAAAAAATGAAACTGTGTTAGAATGATAGTGTTTTATAATGATTGACTTATGAGCATCTTTTTTTTCTAATTAAAATTTTTTTTTTAGTGTACCTGCTTTATGATTTAAATAGATTTGATTTTAAAAGCCATTTGTTACTACTCAGCTTCTTTTGAACATAAGGATACTTCTCTTTCCCTCTTAGGTGAAAGAACTGGAGCAGAGCCTGCAGGCCTCTGAGGAGAAGCTGAAGCAGAGCAGTGATGTGGTGGCAGCTCAGGAAGCTCAAATTCGAGAGCTTGTAAGTGGTGATCATGTCTGCTGTGTTCTAGGCCCCTGATTCTTTCCTTTGTGCCCTTGAAGTCCCCAGACTCACTCCCAGCTCCTGGAATGGCATCTGGACCTTAGATACAGTTGTGGGCAGACAGGCAGTTGCAGAGAGGGAGTCAGGACCTGTTGGAGGGTCTGAGTTACCGGGAGAGTTACTGGCTGGTTCCCACCTAAGAGCTGGCTCCAGGGCCCAGCCTAATTCTAGAACTGTTAGATGTTGTGTGACCACTGGCGTCCAAACCTCATCTTGCAGCCGGGGGCCATGGAGAACAGCTCCAGGCCCTGGGGAGAAGACAGCAAGGGCTCAGCCCGTAGTCACAGCCCCAGGTCGGGTGTGGAGCTAGAAACTAGAGAAGTAAAAACATTTGTTGCCTCTTTCCCACATGTGTTTTCATTTAGTCCTGGCAACAGACCTCAGAGCTGTGCACTGCTATCCTCATTCACTAGAGGAAGCAGGCTCACAGAGATGACCGGGTCACTAGCCCAGGGTCCCCCACCTAGTAAATGGCCGAACCTGCGCCCTCTGTAGGTCACAGCCCCTGCTCTTCATCCCTGGGTCCTGTGCCTCCGCAGGGAAGCGCCTCAGCCATAGAGGGCAGCACTGAGTGAAGGAGGGTTGTGCCTTAGCACTGGTGCCCAGAGCTGTCCCTTCCCCCAGACCAAGACCAGTCGCAGAGTCCAGCTCCTGAGCAGGCAGGGGGCCTCTGCGGCGCCCTGGCTGGAGAAGGTCAGGAAGGAGAGCTGTTTCTATGGGACACTCGTCTTTGGAGGACAGGGTGAGGCCCCCAGTGTCACCAGGAATACCTGTCTTCTGCTGCCCCCTCAGGCCACCGCGAACAAGGAGAGCAGCCGTGCCCAGCAGCAGGTCCTCTCTCGGGAGGAGCAGTGCACGGAGCGGATCCACGTGCTGGAGGCCCAGCTCGCAGGCCTGGGCAGAGCGCGGGTGGCCGAACTGAAAGCCACAGAGCAGGAGCTGGTGAGTGAGGGAAGGAGAGAGGCTGGGAGCACCCGTTCATGTGTAGCCAGGCTGCCAGGCCATTTGACAGGAAGAAGACCAGCCTGCCTCTGAACTCACGCACCACTGTTGAGAGGAGTTTTTATATTTTAACAACACACCTGCTCGTGAGACTGGTTGTGAAAAGACTGCTTTTTACGAAAACCCCAAGCAGATGGTTTTTCTTTTTCCTTGAGCTGCACATAGACTTCCTGGCACTTCCTGACCAGTCCCATAAGCTGCTTTCCTGTCTTCCTGAAATGTGTACTGCTCATCCCTAATGGCTTCCCCCTTTCCCTGGTCTCCGTCCTTGTTCCATAGGCTTCGGAATCAAGTGCCATAGTTCTTCTTGTGAGGAGAGTGTCAGGTGACTCTCCCTTTCTGACCTCAAACCCTGTCCTCCTGTCCCACCCCTGCAGTGGCAACAAAAGGGAGGGGGGCAGTTTTAAAGGTTACATGTCAAAGAGATAGGCCTGCACCCAGGGAAAATAGTGTAAAGACCTTTTCTTTTATGTATACTTTCCTTAATTTGCAGAGAAAGCTGGAGCAAGAAAATGCAGCCCTTAAAGAAAGTAAGAATGAATGTGAATGTTCTTTACAGCATCACCAGCTTGAACTAAAGAAGCTGAAGGTATGTATCTAATGGCGTCAGTTTCACAAAGTCATTTTTGTGAAATGATTTTTATTTTTGGCTGTGCTGGGCCTCTGTTGCTGCATGTGGGCCTTCTCTAGTTGCGGTGATTGAGGGCTGCTTACCGTTGTGGCACGAGGGTTTCTCATTGCAGTGGCCTCTCCTACTGCAGAGCACACGTTAGGTGTGCAGGCTCAGTAGTTGTAGCGCGTGGGTTCAGCCGCCTTGTGCACGTGGGATCTTCCCAGACCAGGGATCAAACGCGCATCCCCTGCATCAGCGGGCAGATTCTTAACCGCTGGACCACGAGGGAAGTCCAAGTGTCATGTCTCTATGTGTGCATTTGGAGTAGCCACAGGAAAGTGCTATACTATGAGTAGAGAAGGAGTAGAACTAGCATTTGTGGATGATAGGGGGTTGTCAAAGAGGCAACTGGAAGTTTTAAGCAGCGGGATGATGTGAGTTTTGTTTAAGAGGATTACTCCGGCTCTGTGTGAAGAATGCTCTGTAAAGGAGGCAAGTACAGAAGCAGGAAGACCTTTGAGGAGACTTGTATATCACTGTGCTTGCTCTGTTTAAGAATATAAAAGGCAAAATTGAACATTTCAGCAGGGATTCAGAAATTATAATAAAAGACAGTAGTTTTGAAAAGGAATCAAATAAGAATTTCAAAACTGAAAAGCGCAGTAGCTGAAAGTAAAAATGCAGTAGATTTCCAAAGGACCTGAGGAAACTTTCTGGAGGAATAGATATTTTCACTGTTTATTTTGGTGTTGGTTTCATCATAATTCATCAGTTGTACACTTTAAATATGTGCAGTTTATTATTATCTATTATACTTCAGTAAAGCTCCTAAAAAACAATTAATGAGCTTAACAGCAGATTAGAACTAAAGAGATAAGTAATGCAAGAAAGGGCAGAATGAAATACAGGGGAAAATGATAAAAGACAGGATGCTGTGAGATGTTTTACCATGTGTCAGTGGAAGCTCAGAGGCAATGAAAAAAACTGAGATAGAAGCATTAAAGAGATGATATAATGGGTGAGGATTTTTCAAACTGATGAAAGCTGTCGAGTCACAGGGACAGGTATAAGAGTTCTTACAGATCCAAACAGGACAAATTTTAAAATCCATACCCAGACACCATATTGTAGTAGCACTAAAAGAAAACCAACAAAACACAAAGAATTAGTTGGGTAACAGACTTGAACTAAAGGAAGTACTGGAAGGAAAATTCTAGATGTACAGAAGATGTAAAGAGGAAGGAACGAATGGAGAGCAGTGCTTATTGCAAGTATGTGCCCAGGAAGAAAATCTGATGCATAGCACATCGTTCACCGCCCAGCTAGGAGAGAAGAAACAGCCCAGTTATTTCAGTGAGAATTTATGTTCTAAGGTAAAGTTTCTTCTCCAGCACTGAAACAGTTAAAAGATATCACAAAGGTAGCAACTGTAGGACTAAGAGAAGAAAGTGAAGAAGTTGGAATTACTAAATTTAGGAGTTAAGAAGAGAAGCTCCACAGATTTGCCAGTCAGACCTCTTAAGAAGGGGCTCTGTGCTACAGTTGGTGCTGGTGTGTGTGCTGGGCGATAGGGCCATGAATGAATTCAGCTGCAGGTGTCAGAAGACTGCAGAGTGGATGCAGCTGCTGCTTCAGGAAGAACTTGCTGCTGCCAGGGCCAAGCTGCATTGCTTGCAGAAACCGCAGTCTGACCAAAAGGAGCGAGTCTTTTCCTCCCTCCTCCTGCATTCCAGTCTCCCTGGAGCTCCCCCTGCTGGCAAAGATGAGTATGTATCAGTATCTGAATATGGAGCCGACTGGACCCAGAGGGAGAAACATGGTTTGCAGAATCCCAGGTTCGGCATCTAAAAGCAGAATATGAAATGCTGGGTGTGGGCTGAGGCAGTAACTGAAAAACCAGCACACACAGGCTTTTTCGGAGTGTGGTTAATTTTCAAACGTTTGGGTGAATTTTCTCAATGGCTTGGATTTCTGGTTTAATATCATTATGGTCAGATAATATTCTGAATGATTTCAGTGCTTGATATTTATTTAGACTTATTTTATGACCCAGCCTATGTCTATCTTGGTAAGTAACTGAATGCATTTGAAAAAATATGTATAGTCAGCTCTTAGGGAGAGTGTTCTGTAAATGCTAAATAGGTCAAATTGGTTAACAGTATTGTTCAAAGCTTCTGTAGGTCTTCTGATTTTTTTTGTTTGTTTTGGTCTGTGTGTCTCATCACTTCCTGAGAGGGGTGCTAAGTCTTCGACTATGATCCTGGATTTGTCTTTTTCTCCCTCTGTCAGTCTTTGCTTCAAGTATTTTGAAACACTGTTTTAGGTGCACACATTTTTTTTTTTTTTTTTTGGTATTGTTTAGATCCATATTTTCAGAACAGTCCTCTGGGAAAATCATTTCCCGGTGCAGAGCACTGTGCGTGTGGGTAGCCTGCTGACTTTCTCAGTGGCCCTGAGCTCAGCCTCAGATCCTGGGTCATGTGTGTTTCTGTGGCGCTAGCACAGACTTTAGAACCCTGCAGTTTCAGTTCTGGGTGCCACCCTGGCCCTTCACAAGCTGATTCTTGAGGGAATCTAGTTTCCTTTTTTCAGACTGAAGGTGATGACCCTTGACCTCAAGAGGATGATACCGTGAGGACAAAGCGTGACCATAGATGAAAAGTGCCAAGTGCAGTTCCTGGCCTGGAGGTGCTTTGAGCCTCTGCTTCCTGCCCTGATACGCTTTCCTGTTTTCTTGTTCACAGCCCGCCTCCTGTCCCCTTAAGACAGTGTCAGTCATAGCATCTCTCCTGAACTTCCCCAGAAAAGGCTGCTGTAGACATATGACATTCTTGTCATCCGTCCCAGCACCTGGGCCTGCAGGGCCAGGATCTCATAGCTCCACTCAGCCTGAAACCTCTTGTTCCTTCTCCTGTGTCAGCAGAGCTTCTCCTATGCAGGGGATTGTCTGGGATGGTTCAGGGTCCCACTGTCAGCCTCTTGAGATGCGGCACGAATTTTCCTTCTCTACTAGAGGCGGACTCATGGAAAGTCAATTCTGACAGCTCCCCAGTAGAAGTCAGAAGGGACGGGCTGTGAGGCTGGCATCTCCCTCCATTCACCCCACCCCCCGCTGGTGTAATTGGAAAAGGAGATGTCATAGGTGGAACTGAGTAGTTCAGAGAACCAGAAAGACCTGTTTGACTAGAACTCGGGCCTCAGGTCTCCTCCTTGCCTGCCTCATGCTGTCTTTTACCCTGTCGGTCACCCAGCTTGTCCTTGCATTCCTCCATGATGGTTGGTAGGACATCACTTCAGCAGCTCCACGCTGATAACATTCCAACTTAGCAACCCCAGGGGAACGAGGACATGTCCCGCTCAGCTTTACTGTACTAAAAAGGGATTTTGACATAAAAAAGGATTTGATTGGTTCATCTTGGGTGACAGAGCCACCCTTGGACAAATTGATTTGGCCATGGGGATGAGGTACTACGATTGACCAGGCCTGAATAACATGCTTATTCCTATAGCCGCAAAATGGGGGCATCATTATTGGCAGCCCTACCAGAACCATGTGGAATTGCAGGGAGGGAGTGGGGAATAGCAGTGATGAGGCTCTTACCCCCAAAAGGGGTGATTGTGGGTATATAGAAACAGCAGACATTCCTGACCCGTGTTCAGACACCTGAGAAGTCATACTATTCATCTGGGGGTTGATCAGTGAGCATGGACGGCATCATGTCAGGGAAGAGGACTGATGTGTTTGTCAGGAAGGAGTTGCCGTGATCTGGGGAAGGCCAGTGGGGCAGCCCTGCTTGAGATAGAAAGACCTGGGTGGTAGAATGTAGCAGCCAAAGGTGTGGCTCTGAGCTCAGACACTGGCTTAAAACCTGGCCCTGCCACTTACTCGCTCTCAGACCTCATGCAAATTACATGACCTCTCAGAGCCTCAGTTTTTTCTCCTGTACTGTGGATGATTTTGATGACTCTGACATTTGCTCCATTAAAACTTAGTAATTGCTTGTTATCATTTCTGTAATCAAATTGTTCCAATCTGCTGCTCCGTTCACATGGGCCTGAGTCGTCTGGTTCTGTGTTGATTTCATTAGAGCAGGTCTTCGAGTCTGGGTCCCCTAGCCTTTGGCCTGGGTACTGACTGGCGTGCTCATGGGACGACCAACCCTCAGCAGTGTGCCTGCGCACAGAGGGGTTAGTGGGCTGTGCACACTAACAGAGGAACAGCAGGCCGTGTGGCCAGAAGGTACCCTGGGAACCTCGGGAAGCAGGAGATGCGCTCGTCTGTTCTTGTGAGATAGTCCTCTCTCTGTGGGCTTCACGTGATGTGTGCAGAGAAGAAAGTGTGAACTGGGTTTTTGGACTCAAATCTCCTACCCATTTTCTGGATTGTAGGAAGAGTGGAGCCAAAGGGAAATCGTGAGTGTGGCAATGGCTCAAGCCCTGGAGGAGGTGCGGAAGCAGAGGGAAGAGTTGCAGCAGCAGGTAGGCCCCCTGGGATTCGACCCCCATCAGTCCCAGCCAGGACTGATCTACCTCCCCATCTCTTCAGAGCAGGGGGTGGACACAGGTCTAGGAATGCTGTCAGCTGCTTGGTTTCCCTGATGTCTCTAGGAAGGTAGGAGAAAAACGTTAGAAACCCTCCAGACTTCCCTGGTGGTCCAGTGGTTAAGACTTTGTGCTTCCAATGCAGGGGGTGTGGGTTTGATCGCTGGTCAGGGAACTAGATCCCACATGCCGTGTGGTGTGGCCAAAAAGAAGACAAAAGAAAAAGGAAAGAAACTCAAGAAGCTCTCACCCCATGGGATAACCTTTTAAAATTTTGATGGTTGGTTACTGTTATAAATGTTACCTGAAGGCAAGTCCATCCCCAGGTTCTGATTCTGTGAGGTGGGCCCCGCTGGCTGCAGGCCTCAGAGACCACAGTTGAGCTTTCAGCCAGAAGGGTGGGAGAAGCCGTCCTCTGACGACAGGCTCAGGCTCAGGCCCCAGGTCTGGGTAACTGTCTCTAAGGCTGTGGTAGGTTCTTAACAGATCTGTTGGAGTTGCTTCTGAAAAGACCCTGCGATAATCACACCTTTATGAATACCACAACAATGAAGTCGTGTGCATCAAATGTTGGGCACATCACAGGCACGCAGGACATGAAGTTACAGTCATGACAGCCTGTGGGAGGGCTGGGCATAATGGCCATGTCTGAGTGGGCCGTGGGGGCAGCTGCCCCTGTGCCTGCCGAAGAGAACTGACTTGTGCGTATTTCTGTTAATAGGTGCAGAGGTTAGCTTGGGAAATGTTCTGGGCTGTGGCCTTCAGGGAGGGATTCGTGGAGGACCCTGGGTAATGGAAAAGTGGGGACTCCTTTAAGAAAGATGTGATTGCCACTCCTAGCCTTCTCTCGTATTGGGTTTTCTCTCCAAGGCCACTGACCTGACAGCCATGGTAGGCGAGAAGGAACAGAGTCTGCAGGAGAAAATGGAAGTGATTCTCCAGAAAGAGCAGGAGATTCTCCAGCTGAAGAAAGGTGAGGCCCCTGCCCCTGGCTGAGCCTTCTCGCCTGTTCTTGCTGGGGACCCCAGCCTGGAAGGGCCCCGTCAGGGTGCTCACTGCCCCTGTGTCTGGCCTAGGTCACGACTCTGCGCTGCTGCAGACACGCCAGCTCCAGAGCGAGCTGGAGGCCCTGCAGGGCCTGAGGGCCGAGGAGGCGGAAGCTGCAGCCACGCGGGAGGACCTGCTGAGGCTGACAGGCCAGGAGCAGCCCATGGTGCTCTCAGCCAGCAAGCCCCATGTGAGTCCCGCCTGAGCTGCTCAGGATGTGGGGGCAGAGGGGGGCAGCATGTCGTCAGTGGGTGGAGGTGGTGGGCAGGCCTGGGGGGCGCTGGGCAGCTTCAGCTTCTCTTCAACGTGAGAGCACCTCACTGATGAGGGATTTGTGAGCATTGAGGAGCCCATCTGATGTGACGACACCTGTCCGTGTTCAAGTGCTAAAGCCCTCCTTCCCAGCAGGCTTCTTGTGTGGGCATTGTCCCCCCAGAGGGCCCTGAGGGGATCTCCGTAGTCTGCTTCCTGCCAGGTGCCTGGTGGACACATCAGCTTTGCAGTGAGTCTGGCCCCTCCCCCGGGGGTTGGTGGCTTAGCTTGACCATTACCTGTGCTGCTACCACCCTGTAGGTGACCTCGAGGGCTGGGCAAGACCCCGAGTACCAGCTTCCAGCTGTGGGGGGAATACCAAACGGAGAGATGGGGGCAGCCATGGATCTGGGGCAGCTACAGAAGGAAAAACAGGACTTGGAACAGCAACTTCTAGAGAAAAATAAGGTGAGGATACGCTCCACCTCAGCTACTTATGTCTCCTTTCCTGTCTTTGTGCCTAAAACCCTCCAGTCCCTTCTTCAAGCTTTGTGCTGATGCGCCTGGGCCCCTCCTGGGGGCAGTCTTGCCTCTTCCTCCTGGTTCTTTGCTTGCCTACCTGGTGCATGGCCCTCTCCTGTCACACTCCCCGAGTCTTCTCCCCGACCCCTGGCCTGAGTCTCAGAGCTGGAGCAGCAGCAGGCCTCAGTGCCCACAGCCCCCTCTGCCCTCACCAGCCGGGTCCTACAGCCAGTCACCTGACCTCTGCACCTTTTTTCTCCAGCTGTGAAATGAGAGCAGTGATGCTTGCCTTTAAGTGGTTTGGGGGTTTTGGGGGGTGGGTATTGGGTGATGAAACTGTTAGTTTTCTGTAAGTTTTCTGGTATTTGATAGAGGCTTAATAAATGTCATGATTCCACCTGCCCTGCCTGGCTTCTACACTTGTAAATGCAGGAGCTCATTTGAGCCTGGGTTTACTGTATCCTGTGAAGTTTATGTGTGGCCTGGTTAGTGCTCTGGCCTGAAATTCTGCCCGCAAATTGTGTGGTTGCTCTTTAACAAGGGAAAAGGTGTTCCTTCTTTCTCTTCTTGCCCCCCGCCTCCCTCCCTCCCTGTCTCCCCTTTCCCCTCCCCCACACCCACTAATCTCTCGCCCGGAAATATAGACGCCTGCACTCTGTGTGTCCCTGGGTCCTGCCCTCACTCAGCTTCTCCAGATCACACTCACATCCTTGGCGATCTCACCCATCCTGTGTGCTGCTGGCACCGTATCCACACTTCAAGTCCAGATAGCGCCTGTGAACTCGAGGCTTTCGTATATACCATATTTCTCTATGTCAGTGCCTGAAGGGCACCTGAAACCTGAAACATTCAGAGCCAGACTTCAGACTGACTGCACTCTCTAGTATCTACTGCCATCTTTCCTATCTCAGGAAATGGCCAGAACCTTGCAGTCATCCCTGACCCCTTTGTTTCTCTCACAGCCAACATGCAGATCATTAGGGAATCCTTTGGGCTCTCCCTTCAAACTATACGCGGAATGAGCTGCTTCTCCTCCCGCCACTGCTGCCCCCTGCGACCCAGGGACCACCCTGTCTTCCCTGGAGGACAGGGATGGGCTTCTAACTGGTTCCCCTGTCACTTGTCTTTACCAGCCCTCTGATGTCTCACTGTCCCCATTAAAGCCCAAGTCCTTACAGTGGCCACAAAGTCTAAGTGGTCTATCTCCTTACTGCCTTTACCCCCACCCTCTGAGGGGTCTGTCTCCTTACTGCCTTTACCCCCACCCTCTGAGGGGTCTGTCTCCTTACTGCCTTTACCCCCACCCTCTGAGGGGTCTGTCTCCTTACTGCCTTTACCCCCACCCTCTGTTCCCCCAGCATTTCCTCACAACCACAGCGGCCTTGCCTTTCTGAGAATACCGAGCCCCCTCCCGCCTTAGGCCTCTGCACTTGCTGAGCGTCTGTCTGGAAGGGCCTTCCCTGAGTCCCCTCACCTCCTCCATGGCATCATTTTGTCAGTGAGGCTTGCCCTGCTGCTCTGCCAGCCCTCACCACCACAACTCCTGTCCCCTCACCTTCCTCTTTTTCTCCAGGCTTCTTATACCTTGTGATGTACTGTAGATTTGCTTGTTAACTTTTTCCCTCCAGAGGGCAGACATTTTTTTCTTTCTCCCCCCCGCCTTTTTTTTGCTGTTTCCTCAGTCTCTAGGCCAGTGTAGAAACTCAGTATTTGTTGGGTAAATTAATAAATGAGTCAGAAACCTAGAAAATCAAGTAACATAAAATAGCAAGTGTATTTTTGGGGGAATGCCCAGCCTCATGGTCAACCAGAGAATTCACAATGAAACAGAATGTCACCATTCTGTTAGTTAGGTGTTGGAGGCAGTGTAACGTGCTTGACAGGAGCTGGGGGCGCTTTCACAGTCCCCCAACCCAGCCATCTCGTTCCTCTAGAGGACTGTGGACATACTACTCTTGAGAAAATGAAGCTTATTACAGCTTTGTTTAAACATGGAAACTCAGGGAATTCTCTGGTGGTCCAGTGGTTACGACTTGGCGCTTTCACTGCCATGCCAGTGGACTCAGTCCCTGGTCAGGGAACTAAGATTCCACAGCCCAGGTGATGTGGTCAAAAAACAAAAAAAGGAAATTCGGCTACACAAGAAGACATGGGGCATCCCCTAGAGTTGCTTTCACTTTACAAGTTATTATTAGGAAAACTAAAGCTGTGGAAACTCTGATAAATACAAAATACTATTCAGAGTTCTAGGTATTCAATGCAACAATGGTGACATGGACTAGAAGTTCATAGGAAAAACTCATTTTGATACGTTAGAGTTGTGACATTTTGGAGAAATTTTTATTTAAAATTTTTCCCTGTATTGTTTATACAGTAAATTTTTTCATTGGAAAACAAAGTTCAGCCTTTCTGGTTATTAATGGAATGTGTAATAAATTATATTTAAGGCCTGTAATACTGATAATTAAACTCACCAAAAATAGGAAAACAAAGAAATGAAAGATATAAAACCCAACGTTGGTGGGTTATGCCAAAAAGCCATGATCTCTTACACCGTTCCAGATCAGCATTGAGAATTCTTAACGGTGTTCCAGGAGATCAGTGGTGGTGGTGAGAACTGTTAAGTTTTGGCCCAGGTATCCTCCTTGGGGGTGATAGCGCGTAAATATAATTCTGAAGGGCAGAATGTACTGCGCAGAGGCATTTTGAGCTCTGCCGCCTACAGGGATGAGTGCCTGAAGCAGTCCTGAGGACCCAGGCCAGTAGGGGGCAGCCCTGGGGCGGTGGCCCTGGCAGAGCCCGGAGAGCAAGTGTGTGCAGAGAAGCAGCGCGTGAGGGGAAGAGGCCAAGGCAGCAGGTGTGTTGTCAGCACGAGCCTCTCAGGAGACGAGGCAGTGCGTCAACAGGTGCTTGGGGACCCAAGGGGTTTTCTGTCTGTGCTGTGGGCCTTGGCACCTTAGAGATGGTGAAATGTGCATTTAATGGATGGCTTTTTGTGGGGGTGGGACTTTTATCACAGACCATAAAGCAGATGCAGCAGAGGATGCTGGAGCTCAAGAAGACTCTGCAAAAGGAACTGGTGAGTGACCCTTCTCCCCGCCGCTGGCTCTGTGGTCCTCCTCAGGGCCCTCGCTTCCTGATGGTGCTCCCCTCCTCCCCCAGGACCGCAGATCTCTGGGAAGTCCGATGTTGGCTGGTGGGACAGTGGCCCTGCCACCTTGAATGTGCTTCTGGAAAGGGGCTCTGTGATCCCTGGGACAAGCCCTTTCTGTGAGCCAGTGTGTTGTCTGAGAGGTCAGCGAGGTGACATGTGCAGCACACGTGCATGGAGGAGGCCAGGTCGGGGTGCTCACTGCCCCAGGAGATGAGTCCTGACCCAGATAAATGAAATGGCTGAGCTTCCTCATGTATGTCTGTCCCTCCTCTCAGCCAGCACCCTACCTTCCCAGCTGAGCCCTTGTCACTCTGATGTGTGCAGGGTGTGGCAAAGAACTTCAGGTGATCACAGCCTAAGCCAAATGCCTTTCCCATGTCATTTTCAGACCTGTCTTGAAGGGCTCAATGTAGCATCTTTCCATTCATTTTTTTCAGAAAATCAGACCTGATAATGAGCTTTTTGAAGTCCGAGAGAAGCCTGGGCCTGAGATGTCAAACATGGCGCCTTCGGTCACGAATAATGCTGACCTGACTGACGCTCGCGAGATCAACTTCGAATACCTCAAACACGTGGTTTTAAAATTCATGTCCTGTCGTGAATCTGAGGTAAAGGGCTTTTGAATTGCCCTTTGGGTACTGAGTTCCACCCCCAGACCTGGTTCATTTGTCCGAGGCTCACCTGGCTTCCCACCAGGTCCATTTCTTTCTTCCTCTTCCACAGTCCACTTTGACCACAAGTGTGGACACTTAGTCATGTCTCCAGCTGGCATTGACCTGCTGGTTGAGCAGTATGCAGGGGACTCCAAGTAGGGAACTGGCTCCTGGGAGGAGATGTGGGTTGGATGCTGAGGCCAGAATCCAGGGAGCTGCATCTGCCCAGCAGTCCTGCCTCTTGCTGAAGAGCAGGGAGCTGCTGTGGATGTCCTGGTGATCTTGCCAGTCCCCAAGTAAGAGGTAGGGGAGGAGAAGAGCCAGCAGCCCTCAGAATGCCCACCTCCACCCTCCGTGGTCCTTGCCAACCAAGCTTGGGGTGCACTAGAGGAGCAGGACCGGGAGATGGCTACCAGGTAGCTGCTGGCTGCCTGCTAACTCCCACTGAGGCCCATGCAGCAAAACTTACTTTGTTTCAGGCTTTTCATCTTATAAAAGCTGTGTCAGTGTTGCTGAACTTTTCACAAGAGGAGGAGAACATGCTCAAAGAAACCCTGGAGTATAAGGTAGGGTTTCCTGGTCTGCTATCTGCCTTCCAAAAACTAGTCAGTCATCCCAGCCCTGGCAGATGAGAGCAGTGCATGGCTGCATCATTAGCGTGGAAGGTGCCTCTGGATGATGAACTTGACTGGGGCGGTGTTGACTGAGGACACGCTCTGTGACCATAGGTCTCTGCTGTACTTAACTAACAGGCCTGCGACAGCACTCCCATTGGTATCACTTCATCAACAGCCCCAGGTCTGGCCAGCACCCAGACTGTTTAAAAAAGTGAAAAATACTCATAAAGTACCTGCATCAAAGCTGTAATAGAAAACACAGAGCTGCTCCCAGCCAGAGTCAGGATGCGTGGAGGGCAGGAGGGGCCAGGCCACAGATGGGGAGGGGGTCTTTCAGCTCCTTCTGCACCCAGTCCTGGCTCTCATCTCAGGAGCCTTTTTTGTTTCAAATATAGATGTCGTGGTTTGGGTCCAAGCCAGCTCCCAAGGGCAGCATCCGGCCGTCCATCTCCAACCCTCGGACACCGTGGTCCTAGGCGGCACTACCCAGGAATGGGGGCTCCAAGGGCTGACACTTTTTCTGTGAAAAGAACACTGACACACCACAGTCCTAGTGGGTTTTTAATCACTGTAACTGCAGTATTTTGTACAAGCATCTGAACATTGTTTACAAGACTTAAGGCCCACTCCTGCAGACTGATACGAACCTCAGGAGGTAGCTGATCCTGACATCCTGGTTTCCGGAGAGCCCTGGCACAACCCACATTGCCACAGTGCTGCTAAAATCCCAGCTCTGGCCAGCACCCACCTGCACCTGAATCTTTTCAACATTAGCACTTAAAGCTGAAGCCCTCAGCCTGTGTCAGAGAGGAGGCAGCTGATCCATCGTGTGGTGATGACGCTGGACAGGCCTTCGAAATGCTGCCCTACAGGGCAGACCCACCTGCTTCCGCCACGAAGAGCCAACTCAGTGAGGCTGGCTTTTTTCAACTCCCTTTCCCTGTTCGTATGTTTGGGTTCAGGTGAGTTAGAAGAGGCTTTTGAACCCTTCCACCCAAGGAAACCTTATTTCACTTTGTTACTCAAACGTCCTAGAACGTCAGATGTGTCCATCTCTAAGGTACTCTGGGGCCAGTGTGGATTAATGAATATATGCACCTTTCTGACAGTATCTCATTTTATTGAAGAAAACTAGCAAATGTATAAAAAGATTCTTAGTACCAAATACACTCAATTGCCTTTTTAATGAATGTACTTGTGGTGGATAGGTTGCTGGTAAACCATTTTAAACTATTTTTTATAGTTAAAGTTCCTCGCTATTATAAACATGTCTTCTGTATTATAAAATCCATTTAACTGGTGTTCTTAAAGGAAAATCAGAGCATCAAGAGGAAATTATTTCTAAAATAGGGATCCTTGTCCCAATCTGCTTCCCTCTGAAGCAGTCGTGGTGTTTCACTTGCTTAGATCTTAATTCTGTTGTTATAACACTGAGCAAATGCTAATCAATGTTTTCTACTGCTGAGGACAGTCTGCTGTATTCGAAGGAAGCCGCAGCTGTTCCTCTCCTCTCCCCAGCCTTGACCAAAACGCTGGAGGTGGACTGCCCCTTAAGTGGAGCCACCATCTCCCCATTGCCGCACCCCCCCAACCCCAGAGATTTAAGATGACACTACATTCACGTGTGGCGTCCAGGCGGCCCCTGGCTGGCTGCAGTACTTGACGACACGCAGATGGCTTTGGAAGTGACTGATGAAAACTCGTGTTCACCATCATTAAAGAAAAGGGAAATACTTGCCCTGGATAAGGCACACTTTCAGATCTAAAGGGAAACTGTATATTTATAGTCTGATGAAAGTTTTATTGGTTAAATAAAAAACTGAGTTAATAACTGGAGTTCCTAGATTTATCATCAGTTACCCAATGACGTTAGGTTTCTCAATTATGTTTAGGGCTAAAATATATATAAAGTATCTCTCAGAGGAAAGCAAGGATACGCAGTTAATGTAAGACAGTTCCATGGCCCTTGAAGTACCGAGCAAGGGCAGCATTACCCGCATCCAGCTCGGGCTCTGCTGCCCAGCAACGCTTCTCTTACCTACCTCCTCCTGCAGCTCCCACGGCAGATGCAACCCGAGGATGCCGTTTCTCGTTATCTGGGGGGGACACAAACCAGGAGTCCCTTCTGTTCCATCACTTTGACAAGTAGGAAGTAGCTCTTCCAGCTGTTCCAGGAAAGAATTCCTTAAATTGGGTAGTTAGGGCTTGCCAGAGGCGATCCCAGCACAGCTGTGGGAGCCCCGCTGACTCCCCTGTGGCGTCTGCAGCCCTCCAGCTGGTCTCGTCCCCTGCCACACCCCCGTTGCCACCCTCCCCACAGCCGCCAGCAGTTCTAGACACGGTTGTGGGGCCCCTCCTAGGTCTGTACTTGCACAGGGAGGATTTGTTCTGATTAGCCTTTCCTCCTGCATGTTGAATCTCCTTCAGCTTTAAGAGGAAGAGTGGAGTAAATACTCTGAAGTGATTTCATGCACTTTTACTTGTATAGAACGTTCTGTGCTAGACAGTACATAGAGCCCTTTATATGAGCCTCGGATCTTGATCTCACCCTCCATGTTGTAAATAGGGATTGTTATCTAAAACTGCTGTAGAAAATTCATTTGTGGTGCAATACACTTTTGATTAAAGCCCTTCAATCCAGATGCAGTGCATTTGTTATCGGTTGGTGTGTCAGCATCTCCTTTTTGACTTGTTAAATTTAGTATATTGTATCTCACTTGAAAACTTCAAGGCCAGCTTCAAGGACCTTAAGAGTATTTGTCTTTCAGTAAGAACCTTCCCAGGTTAGGTTTGGGTGAGTAATTATATTTGTAATTTAATGAAGCCAGCAGCCTAGTCCTACCTCCCAGGAAGGGTGGGGGTTCTGCAGAGGAGTTGGGAGGATTGTCACTTTGGGCAACATCCATCTCCAAGGCCCGCATAACTGGGAAGAGCTTCAGGAATACGAATGGGGTCCTTACCCGTAACAGAATGCAGGCTGCAGTTCCATGTGCTAAAAAGGAAAGAAAAGCATCTGCTCTTCAGACAGGCCCACTGTCAGTGGTTACAGGGAACAAAATGTGCCTTGTCTATGTACAGGCTTGTTGCTACCTGTTTGTCTCTTCCTCCTTTAAAGAAAACCCCTCAGCATCAGTGTTCCTGGCGAACAGCCAAGCCCAGCGTCAGGAGGGGGTGATGGGCGCACCTGTGCCCACTCCCAGGACTCCATGTGCAGTCACACAAACTGAAGACTTTATTAAATAAGCTCCAAAACTATGTACAAATCAGAGGAGTGAAAACAATAGTTATTCAGCAAAACATGTCTGTGCAGCAGTCAGCAGCACTGTGGCCCAGGCCTGAGGGACTGCTGCGGCCAGAGTGCAAGAACGCCATGCCCGCTCCCGGGCGGCTCTGCAGGGATTTGTGTCTACCCCTCCAGGTCCGGTTTCCAGAACAGGCCACCTTTCACTCATGACCAGCCCATTTCTCTCCTGTTCCTTTTATACACATGAAACACACGGCAGAGTATATACTAATAAGCCAAGAGCTTTATTGATGCAGCAGGCACTTTACAATGAACCCAAGAGAGCCCGCCTTCTCTGGGAGGTCAGGGTGTCTGTCTACAAACCCTCGGGGGTTTCCGCTTCAAAAAAAAAAAACCAAGCTCGCCCTTTTACCACAGCTCTTGGATCTGCACCTACCCAAATCACCCCTCCCTCCTTTTAAACAGGCAGTGCACACAGGTACCCCTGACCAAGGCGGGCCAGCCACTCTGGTAGACAGTCACAATGTCAGTTCTGCATTACTTGTGGACAAAGGCATAGACTATCAGATCCTGCAAAGGATTTATGAAAACAGTAAGACGATCTCTCCCTCCACCTTGAAAATAAAACACACTTCAGCGGATGCATGTCCTGAAATAGTTGACTTGGGAGTTCCTAGGCAGGTGGTCCATTGTCAATCCCTTCTTCGACAGCCTGTGCATCCAAAATTCTTCTCGAGGTAACATGAGTCTCTCTCTCTCTTTTTTTTTTAAACAGTCTTTCTTGCTGTAAGAACTCTTATAATGGAGCCTAGACCTCCTACTGCTAATGCCTGTAGGGGCAGCAAAAGAAAAGGTGTCAATTGAGACCTGGTTGGCCAAGGGGCTCCTAGCTTCTTGCCAGGGGAGATGGGACTACACTCCTGACCATGTCACAGATCTTCTGAAAAAGCATTCCTGAGAGAGCACAGTTAAGAGGTGCCAACAGGGCCTGCATTCGAGGGATGGAGCCCTGTCCCGGAACAAAGGGTCCCCAAAAGCCGTTGGCTCTTTAAGGCAGGAGAACTGGGCTTGCAACATTGTCGCCAAGCTCACACAGAGCCCCCCAGCTTCCCTTTGACAAGCTCACTGTATCCAGGCACAGCCCTAGGCCCTAAAAGAGACACTAGCCCATTGCAGTGGGAATGTCCACAAACTCATGCACCCGGCTGCCATTAAGGGACCAGAGAGCGTGGCCGCCCCAGACCACTCCAAGGGCTTTGCTCAGCTCCCAAGCACCATGTTCACCCCCATTACGAAGCCCAGGAGCTCACCTTCTGGCAGAGCAGGCAGAACCCCCACCAGCAGGACCAAAGGCCACAACCCAGCCCAGGCCTGAGGCTATCCACGTGACTGACCCCTCAGTTAAGGGCCATTCCCTTAATACTCGGCAGAGCCTTTCATGAAGGACACTGGCTTGACAAGAGGACCCCCATCTTGTACTAAAACAAGCAAAGGTCAGGTCCAGCTCTTCCAGCCTCAGGAGGTTGAAGGCCCTATTAAGAGACTGCCCCGTCTGGCCTTGTGAGGTGGGGCTGGAGCCGGAAGCCCTCAGAGCTAACTGGAGGGTTCAGCCTGCACCTAAGGCCCACCACCACCACCTCCACCAGCCCAAACAAAGTATGTCAAAGCCCCGCCACCAGCAAGCCTGCCTGAACCTCACCAGCCAAGTTACAGGTCCCGAGGCCTGCCCGGCACAAACCCGAAGCTAAAGCAGTGGCAATGACCAGAGATAGTGGACCCCTACCACTGCTTCCTCGGGAGAGTAAGTGCTCAGGTGTCCCGGGTTGCTTGAGGCATGGCCCTCGTTCTCACAGGCCTATCCCCTACCACTGCTTCCTCGGGAGAGTAAGTGCTCAGGTGTCCCGGGTTGCTTGAGGCATGGCCCTCGTTCTCACAGGCCTATCAGATCATCCTGTCTGTGTCTGGGATCGACTGGCCTGTTGATCTGAACCCTGGGCTGGGGGTGAGCCAGTGGACAATGTGTTCACATACCTTTTCATGCCACTGGAGTAACACTGCGCTGCTATTTTCTGTGGGCTTCTCAAACCCTTTATAAATGTACTTCATTAGCAAGTCGATGCCATTTCTGTCCAGCGACTGCACAGCCTGCTCGATTTCGCTGCTCTTAAAGTTTGTAAGCACTTTCAGCACCACGCCCTGGGCCCGCTCCTACAGGGGAAAGAGAAAGGGAATGAGGTCTAGAGCCATGGCCCAGGCATAACCACGTCCCACAGCGCAGGCTCTGAAACACCAAACCAAGTAGTCAGAACTCATTAGGAACACTGCCCAATTTCCAATTCATTTGCAATGCTTAAAAAAAAAAAAAACTATATATATATAGTGAAATTTTTTTTATTAATTTTCAGAGTATCCCAAAGTATTCAAAGCCAATGATTTATTCCACTTATCTGAGGGGAAATAAGCAGTTTCCTGGGGAGAAGAATCACTATTTCTGATGACGCCAGCAAGGCCTTAAGCTCAACTCTATAGGTCTCCATATTTAAAAAACAAACAACAAACGCCCCACACAGCAAAGAGCAAGTCTCCTTGGCTGTACCTTCTGTGCTCCCTCCCAGTGGAACAAAGGGGCCGATCCCCTCCCCGTTTGAGAGGTGCAGCCATTGATTAAATCCAGACACCATCACAAGATAGGAAAAAACCCAGCTCTAAAGAGACCCCTTTCCCTGGACCAAATTTTAGATAGCCTCAGTGATGAGATTTTAGGCAGCCTAACTGATGCAGTCTACCCAAGTGTATCATCTCACCTAGTTTTTAAGAGGCAGAAATCATAAAAGCACTGAAAATCCTTATGCAAATAAAGCCTATTCAATAGCTTATAAAAGCATAACCACTAAGTCCCATGTGGCAAGCTAATTTATAACTTTCTTCATCAGGAAGGGCTGGGCTGACTTCTCACCCCATGAGGCCCTGGGGAGGACTGAACGTTTCTTTGGGGAGTGTTTACTACAAACACTGACAGCTTTGGTGTCAGGGGCGCCAGGCAGCTTCTGTGGAAACACAGGCCGGTGCCAGCTCACTTCCCTGGTAGAGATTCACTGATGCAGAGATGAGACACATGCTGTCCAGAGCCCCGGGGAGCTCACGCCCTGGTCCCAACACCACCCAGCAGCACCGCAGCTCGACCCCCTTTACCTTCACAGCTTGATTCTTGGTGTTGACAGGAGAGTTCCGCAAGGCTGCGTGAAATGCCCGAAGCATGTCCCCTGTGCACCGGCACCAGTTAAGGACGGCTCGCTTCAGCATGTCTGTGCTCTTCTTAACAAACTCCTTTCAGAAAGAGCTCAAGGGGGTAGAGACAAACGCCATCTTATCCACATCTAACCCTCCCCCTACTGTGGCTTCTGGGTGGGCACAACCTGGGCGGTCTATAGCTCTCTTGAGCCACATGGAGGGTGGAAGGGGCACCTCTGCCAAACCTTTCCTGCGGCCCCTAAACCTTCCCCTTCAAAGCAAGTTTGGACATGGACTCGCTCCCTCCCGGAAGGAGGAATGAAGTTGCTGCCCCAGCAGGGTGACTTGCAGGAATATCTGACGAAGCTGATTGGCACCTACTTAGCACCGGGCCTTGTATCTTCCCTGCTGGACCCTCATGACCACTGAGTGAGGTCATCATTTTCATCTTCTCATTCTCCAAAGGGAAGAATGAAGGCACAGATGGAGGTCCCTAATTCTTAATCCAGTGTGTTAAATTATTAAAGAAATTAAGATGTGCTAAAACTTTTATCTTCTAAGACCTACCCAAGTCAGTGAGGTCCCAACAGAGGGAAACTTAACAATCTCAAAGAACCTTCTGCCAAGAAAACGAACCAAACCTCCCTTCTTTGTTCCCCAAACCTTAGCTGGAGTCCTGACACATTCTTTGCTGAGCTCTGAATATCCAGCACGCAAAAGAAAATTACAATCTGGGTTAGGTCCCCAAAGGTGACACCTATTTTAAACTGAATTACATCAGCTGACTTTCATTTCCTCATCCGAAACATCAGCTTCAGCCAAAAAGCTTCAAAAATAGAACAAGAGGTGGCTTCTGCCCAATCGGGTCTCTACTCCTGTTCACGCAGCAATACCCACGTGTGAACAGCCAGAGCCTCCCGAGCAGAGTGGAGTTCCCGGTCTGCCCCTCTGTGGCCTCCATCTTGACGGAGTTGGGCCCACACACCCAGGGTGGAGCGCCCTAGCACCCTGCGGGGCTGGGGTCCACCTTGCAATTTGAGAGGCAGCTCACTCTCTCTCACTCTGTACCTGTCAGCTTTGGAATTCCTTTCTCCCAGCCAGGCGCGGGCCAGTCTGATATCAGTCACTGATAAAACTTCTACCTCAGAACTTTGTGAATTTGGCATCCCAAAGCAATAAGCAGTCCCAGTAAGCTTAAGAGGAGCCATAACTGGCACTCTCCACTAACCAAGCATGGGTGGGAAGCACAGTACTTCAGAAGACGGACACGTAAGGGTAGGGTAACGAGCCCACAGAGGCAAAAAGACTGACGGCCCTGGAGTTACTCTGCAGCATCCCTTTGCCTATCATTCACTGCAGTGTCGAAGGGTAGGGGCCTTCAGCAGCTGGGGGAACTAGGGAGCAGGGAGGAGCACACCATCTATCAAGCTGGCCTCTGTCTAGGATAGCTTTAGGCCCTTCCAGAAAACCGGCTGTGGAAGCTGGGAAATGGTGCCCAGCTCCTAGTCTCCTCTAGATTAGGGATTCTCAACCATAGCACTAATGACATTTTAGACCAGATGACTGATGTGGGGTCCGTCCTGCGCATCTTACAACATTGAGCAGCACCTCTGGCATCCACGTACTAGATTCTAGTGGCACACCCGGCCACATACCAAATTGTGACAATCAAAGTATCTCCAAACATGGACAAATTTCCTCAGGGGGAGGAGACACTGCAAAATCACTCAAAACTCTGCTCTGGACAGATCCTCGTTCCAGAGGACCAGAAGGTGCCTCAGCGGGAAGAAAAGGAACCAAGTCTCAGATATGTGCCCAGGTGTTTTCACATGTCATCTCATTACTGCTACCAGTTCTTTGTGACAAGAATCATCACTATTCTGATTTTAAAGGCGATGAATCTGAGGCTCAGAGAAGGCAAATGACGTGCTCAGGTCACAAAGCTAAGCTTCCAGCTGGCCTTCAAACCCAAGCATGCCTGACTCCACTGGCAAGCTCTTCCTACAGCCCTCTGGTGCCACTGCCCCGCCACACCCAAGCGGCATGCCCAGGATACCTGCTGTGGGTCCAGTACTACTCTAAAGCCTTCTGGGATGCCACCCAGTGACGCTCCCATGGAACCTTTAAGCCCAGCTTGGTTCTCCTTTTAACAAAGGAGGCTACCAAGGTTCAGAGAGGGTAAGCGACCTACTCAGAGCCACACAGCTGCAGCAGGACTGAGGTGGGTTAGTGTGGGCGCACAGCCCATGCTCTATTTCATCCATGACTTGCTTCCCTGTAACAGTACCAGGATGGGCCTACTCCCTACATTCTCCCACTCCCATCAACCAACCCCTATCCCTACTCCCCCCACCTCTGTTCTAAGACTCCTAGAAGCCTGCTCCACAGCTCAATAATTTAATCTAAATCCAATACCTGGCACATGGTAGGGACTCAGCAAATATTAGCTCCTTCCTCCTCCCTTCCTGGGCCGCGCTCAGTTCTCATTTGCTAACCTCCCTTTCCCCAATCCCAAGAGGTACACTCTCCATGGTAACCAGGTTTCTGACACTGCCATTAGTGGAGAAACTACCATCCCCTGATGTGCTAAGCCCAGGCTTCCAAGCAGCCTCAAGGAACCTATCATGTCAGGAGCATACCAAGAGGTGACCTTCAACAAGTCCCTGCAGCACTGGGACCAAGACAGCAGATAACCAGACCTTGCGCTCCCCTTCTGTCGATGATCTGGGCCACAGGGCTGATGCTGGAGTCCTTTTGCCAATGCCTGCCCATGAGCCGGGTTCTGCACCACACTGCAGAATCAACCTTCCCTCATGGGGGCTCTTCTCATGACCCCACTTCACCAATGGGGAAAGCCCGGTGATTCTGACGGGGCAGGAAATAACAAGCTTGAATCCCCACCTTTGAAAATACATTTCTGTTCAAACAAAGAAAGGCCGAAGGTATTTGTTTCAAAGGGACATTTAAGGAACACTGCAGGACTCCTCCCAAAGGCACTGAATGGGTTCAACTTCCCAAGCTGAGTCAACTGATAAAACACCCAGAACCTAATTTATATACAGTACAGCCTGAACCTCCAACCCTGTCCTGGCCAGTAAGGGGGTGGGGGAGGCACTTCCTGTAATACCATTTGAATAAAGAAAAATCCTTCCTGTGAGAATAAGTCAGTTTCCTGTGCTCAAAGTGCTAAAGGACCAAGCAGGCTGTGACAACCACCTCTATTTTTAATCTTGTTTTCTAAATGCTTGTTTTCTGTGACCACAACACAGTCATTTCCAGTCGTGGGGCTCTACTTTTACATCTCACTTTATGCTGCTTGGTTTTTCTTAGCTCTAAACAACTAGTTTTTTTTCCATTGCTTCCTGCACAAGAAGGCTATAGCCGGGAGGGAGCCAAAACGCACTTGTTGAACGTGGCTGAGACCACTGAGGTCCAAAACCCAATGGTCACAGGAAACTAAGAATAGGTGAGGAAGAGTGGCATTAAGCTAGCTGAAGGGTCAGAACAATTCTGGGGAGCGAGGTGAAATCTCAGAACCCAGGGCTGGACTAAGGCTGCAGCCTTCGCTCCCCCTTGGGTCCTTTCTTCCCAAGGACTGCCATCTACCACCTATTTTCAAGTGGTGCTGCAATCCAGCCCGAAAAAACTGTATCTGGGAGCCGCCCTGGCCGCTCAATTACTCAGCGGTGGCTCACCTTGGCCCCTCCCGCCGATCAAGCCCGAGTAAGGCCCGGTTTCCTGCATGAGAGAGATGGTGTGATCGAGAGCCCAGGCAAAGGCCAGCCTGAAGGGACAGAGGGAGGAAAGAGAGGCCTCCCGGGGCAATGAAGGGCCTGCGGGGCTGGAGGTCCGTCCTGCACGTTCTTGGGGCCGCCGAGCCAGCCAGCCCACCAGGATCCAGGAGCCGCGTGGGACCGCACTGTTGAAGGAGGGTCCAGGGGCCCGGGACCAGGACAAGGGGAGTGGGGAGGCCAGGTGAAAGGGAAGCGAGGATGCCTGCCCGAGGAGAGCCAGATCGGAAGAGAGTTGGGAGACTGACCTGGGGGGTCCGGGGGTGAGAGGAGCGGAGAGGCCGGCCTGAGGGGCCAGAGCCAGGGTAGAGGAAAGTAGGAAGGCCGGGCCACAGGGGGAGCCTGGGCCTCCGCGCGGGGGAAGGATATTGCCGCAGGAGCCCGTCCACCTCGCTAGGGTCCGGGCCTGGCTCGCCCGCCGCCGCCGCCGCCTCCTCCTGCTCGTCCACGAATTTGTTCTCATCAAATTCATCGATGTCCACCCGACGGAAGCGCGAGGACAGCGTGTTCCGGGCCATGGCGGGGGCTCAGCGCCCGCTGAACCGGCTACACTCCGGAGGGACCTCCACTCTACTCCGCTCAGAACCGGCTCCGGCTCGGGGGCGGGAAGCGGCCGGCCGGCACCTCCTCCACCTCCTCCGCGCGCAGCCGCCGCCGCCCGCCCACTTCCGGTTCTCGCCGGAACCGGAAGTGCTGGTGGGCGGGACGGGCGGGTTACGTTGCTTCGGGAAGCACTGGGAGACGGACCTGGAAATATAACCTGTGGACCACTGCGGGGCTAGTAATCTTCATGGGATCTCGGTTTCCCCTTCTGAGGAGCGGGAGGCCAATCTTCCGCAGGCGCAGCACATAGATGCCACAGCTGCGCTCTTCGGCTTCCCTCCTGCACCCGAGGAACCCCTGGCCCTGGAAGGGGCCAGGGCGGGCATAGTAGCGGATTCCGGGTGTCATCTCTGCCCAGACTGAGGGGCACGGGGCCTCCAGAAGAAGGAGCCCTGCTCTGCCTGCCGAGTGCTGGGCAGGCCTCTGGGAGAAGACAGCTTCGAGCCTGAGGGATGAGTAGTAGTTCTTATGCTCCGAGGGTGATGTTGAATGGGAGAGCCTAAGTCTCGAATTTGAAGACCTTAGGACGCCACCACATGGAGCTCAGAGGAGGTTGCATCTGACCTTATTGTAGTGACCTTATTGTTAATGGACTGGGAGACTTGCAAGACGTTTAAAATGTATCGGGGGTGCTGACAAGACAGTGGAGACATTTGGATTTGAGTGCGGGGTCCCGCGTGTGTAGCAATCTCCTTGACCCGCAGTGTAGGGGGTTGGGGATAGGGGGATGACCCAGTGACCACCATCCTGGCAGGAAAGGTGAGGTCCTGGGGACTGAGAAATCTTGACTGGCTGGAAAGGCATATCCGGGAAGGAAAGGAATCCGCAGAATCTGAAGTGTTGGAAATGGGGGTGGGGAGAAATGGTTTGCAGAGTCAAGGACAACTTTGTGGTGTCAAGATTAGGTGCCTGGGCTGTTGCTTGAGGGGCTCTTGCTCAGTCGTGTCCGACTCTTTGCGACCCCATGGACTACAGTCCATGGAATTCTCCGGGCCAGAAGGGATAGATTCCCATCCATTATCTCAGGGTAGCCTTTCCCTTCTCCAGGGGATCTTCCCAACCCAAGGCTGGAAACCAGGCCCCCCCCGCATTGCCTGGAGGGAGGGAGGACGATACTTTACTAGCTGAGCCACAAAGTGAAAGTGAAAGTCGCTCAGTCGTGTCCGACTCTTTGCGACCCCGTGGACTATACAGTCCACGGAATTCTCCAGACCAGAATACTGGAGTGGGTAGCCTATCCCTTCTCCAGGAGATCTTCCCAACCCAGGGATCGAACCGGGGGTCTCCTGCATTACAGGCAGGATTCTTTACCATCTGAGCTATGAGGGAAGCCACAATGAGCCTTAGCCTGAGACTACATTGGGTCTTTGTTTTCATATAATGGTATTCCTTTTCATAAAGACCAGTAGTTAATGAAATGTGACTGGGTTTTCATTTTTTCGAATATTTCTCATTGAACTGTCTACAGATCAAAAAATATTGCCCAAGGAAGGTGCTACCTTCCTTGGGTGCTAAAGATAGATTCCTACAGGGAAACAGGTGCTGAATAAAAGTCTCAAGGGTCCTGGGAGACCTACCTATCAGCTCCATACCTTGGAAGAAATCTGTAAGTGAGGCAGGCAACAAGCTAAGAGAAATTCATATCCTCAGAACATTCTGATCAGAAGGAATTTCAAACCAGAAATGCTCATTTTACAAGTAAGGAAATAGCTCCCAAGTAAATTGGTAAATGAAATAATGTCACTTTATGACCATGGATCTGCATTCTAGTCAGTGAGGCAGAAATTAAAAAATCTACACTATGTCAGGGATGACTGCATTTGCGGGGGGGGGGGACATTCAGTTTCTGAGAGCACCTTAGTTAAAGTGGTCAAGTGTCCCTGAGGAGGTGATGCTGAAGTGGATCTGAAGGAAGTGAAGGACAGAGCCAAGCAAAGGCTCAAACACAGGCCATACTGGAGCAGAAGAGTAAGAAGGAACAAGATGGGGCTTCCCTTGTGGCTCAGCTGGTAAAGAATCCACCCGCAATGAGGGAGACCTGGGTTCAATCCCAGGGTTGGGAAGATCCCCTGGAGGAGGGAAAGGTGACCCACTCCAATATTCTGCCCTGGAGAATTCTGTGGACTGTAATGGACTGTTTAATCCATGAGATTGCAAAGAGTCAGACAGGACTGAGAGACTTTCACTTTCTGAAATGCAAAGAAATCTTAACCTACAAGAAGAAACAAGATGGAAGGGGGAGTGGCAGGTGCTGTAGGACTTTGAAGGTGAGAAAAGGATGTGGTCTTAACTCAGGACAGCCCTGGAAATTCTGAACAGAGAAGAGACATGATCTAACTTCAGTTCGAAAAGGGTCCCTTTGGCAGCTCTACTGAGAATGGAAACCAGAGCAAACGGAGGTGATTTATGAGGCGACAACAATGATTCAGGAGACAGGCAATGGTGGCTCAAAGCTCAGCAGGTGCCAGTAACAGTGGTGGGAAGAGGCTGGGTATTCTGACAATGTGCTGTCCTTAGTCGCTGAGTCGTCTCTGACTCTTTGTGACCCCATGGACTGTAGCCTGCCAGGCTCCTCTGTCCATGGGGATTCTCCAGGCAAGAATACTGGAATGGGTTGCCATACCCCCCTCCAGGGGATCTTCCCAACTCAGGAATCAAACCAAGGTCTCCTGCATTGCAGGTGGATTCTTTACCCTCTGAGCCACAGATAGAAGCTGTAGAATTTGGGGGTACGTTGGATGTGGCATGTAAGAGAAACAGGGTAGTCATAGAAGGGGTAACAGAGGATGAGATGGTTGGATGGTATCATCGACTCAGTGAACATGAGTTTGAGCAAACTCCGGGAGATAGTGCTGCAGTCCATGGAGTCGCAAAGAGTTGGACATGACTGAGCGACTGAACAACAGCAACAGCTAAAGTTCAGAAAAGCTGTACACAGTCGTTAACTCTAACAGAACTTAAGCATTTGGAAACCATGATAGGCAAGTCCCTGTGCCCCATTCAACCTCCGTTTATGACTAATCCATGCCATGAATGCCCTCTGCTTTCCCACTTCACTCCATTTCCTAGAAGCCTGCCTCACTATGATCTGAGACAAAGCTCAATTCAGTTCATCCAACAAGTATCCATGTGATGGATCTGGAGGCGAGAAAAACCAAACTAGTTGTCAGCTGTGGTTCTGCTCCTTGGGGAACTTCCAAGTTGGATGTGGAGGCAGACACATAAATTTCATTCTAATTCAATATATTTGGGGTTAGAGAGAGGTTTGATTGCACAGAGATCAACAAGGGAGGGTTTTGTCCCAATTTAGTCCAAGGCTAAAGATTCATTAGCAGAAACCCGTAAGAGGGTGAGAGAAGGCTTCCTGGAGGTGACATCCAACAGCAACAAGGGGGCAACCTGGCTTTAAATGGAGCTCTAAGACGGTGTGCCTTTGTTAATGGCAGTGGAGTACACTAGGGCACTGATCCATGCTTACTGCTGGGGGCGAAATGCAATTGTTCAGTCAGAAAGTCAGCACTTTGCCTTGTGAAGTCCCCCCTTTAACTTTCAGGGCCAATTCAAGTGTTCATTCAGCTGGGAACATTCATATCAATGATACTGAGCAGTTGTTATGCATCAGGTCTTGTGCGAAGAGTTTTACATGTTATCTTCCTGATCTTCCTAAACACTACATTTCACAGGTGAGAAAACTGAAACTCAGGGGAAGGGATTTGCTGAGAGTCAGCTAGCACTAAGCAACAGAGTAAGAATTTGAAACTGGGTCAGGTTCACTAAAAAAAGGCCATGAATGCCTTTTCCCCCAAATAACACATGCTGTCATAGCTGTCTACCTCACCCCTCCCCACCCACTGTAGACTTTAAATTCCTCCAAGGCAGATGCCATGTTAATTCATCTTCTAAAACCCTCAACCTTCATCCCCTGCCCCCACCCCCCCCCAGAACACTGGCACCCAGCTCAGAGTAGATCAGACTGGGCAGCCTGCAAAAGTGTACCAAATGTGGAGAAGGAAATGGCAACCCACTCCAGTATTCTTGGCTGGGAAATCCCATGGAGAGAGGAGACTGGATGGCTACAGTCCATGGGGTCACAAAGAATTGGACACAACTTACTGACTAAACAGTAACAACAACAAATACATAAAAGATAATTAACAAGAACTTACTGTATAGGACAGGGAATTCTATTCAGTGTTCTGTGATGACCTATATGAAAATGGAGTCTAGAAGAGAGTGGCTGTATGTATATGAATGGCTGACTCACTTTGCTATGTAGCAGGAGCTAACACAACATTGTAAATCAACTAAACTCTAATAAAAATTGATTAAAAAAAGACCACTGAAGATGACGAGCTAACATCTGCAGCTGCAGGTGGTGCTTCTACACATCACTCTGCCAATCATGACTTATCATTTAGATCAAATAACTATTATTCTAAATGAATTTTGCTCATTTTCAACTTCAAATTTTCTTCTTTATTTATGAATAGTGAAATAATAGCTGTTGATATCTTTGGCCAGTATTGGAGGAAATTCATAAACAGTTAAATAAAGATGGATTCATATTAATGCCATGAGAGTCTTCAAACAGAAGTCACTTAATTCCAATAGTGTGTGTTTTTTCATCTGCTCCATGGTATTAAAATGAAGCTTTTAGAAGTTCATTCTGTTGAAGGGAACATGATTGTTAATGCTATTATAAATTCAGATGTATGTTTAACATTAGAGAAAAATGCTTTATTTTTATGGTGTTAATGACAAATACAAATTGTGGTGGGGCCAAGTAATATAAAAACAATGCTTTTAGTAAATTAAAAAAAAAAGTGTACCAAATAAATGAATAAACAAATGAATAAATGAGTGGATGAATTCCAGTCTTACTAGTCAAATAGGTTGTCTCTCGCCCCACGGTGAAATTTCCCCACTGCCCTGCGGGAACTAGACCAAATCTAAGTAATTTTCCAGGAGAGACATCAACAATCTCAGATATGAAGATCATATCACTCTAATGGCAGAAAGTGAAGAGGAGCTAAAGAGCTTGTATCATGACAGTGAAAGAGGAGAGTGAAAAGGCTTGCTTAAAATTCAACAATCAAAAAACTAAGATCACGTCATCCAGTACCATCACTTCATGGCAAATAGATGGGGAAAAAGTGGAAGTAGTGACAGACTTTATTTTCTTGGGCTCCAAAATCACTACGGATGGTGACTGCAGCTATGAAATTAAAAGATGCTTGCTCCTTGGAAGGAAAGCCAAGACAAACCTAGACAGCGTATTAAAAAGCGCAGCACTCACTTTGCCGACAAATGACCAAATAGTCAAAGCTGTGGTTTTTCCAGTAGTCATGTATGGATGTGAGGGTTGGACCATAAAGACGGCTGAACACCGAAGAACTGATGCTTTTAAATTGTGCTGGAGAAGATTCCTGAGAGTCCCTTGGACAGCAAGAAGATCAAAACAATCAAGCCTAAAGGAAATCAACACTGAATATTCATTGGAAGGACTGGTGCTGAAGCCGAAGCTACAATATTTGGCCACCTGATGCGAAGAGCCGACTCACTGGAAATGGTTCTGGTGCTGGGAAAGGTTGAGGGTAGGAGGAGAAGGGGATGACAGAGGATGAGATGGTTGGATAGCATCACCGACTCAGTGAACATGAGTGAGTAAACTCGGGGAGATAGTAAAGGACAGGGAAGAGTGGCGTAACTGCACTTCATAGGGTCGCAAAGAGTCGCATAGGACTTTGCGACTGAACTACAACAAAGTAATTTTCAGCGAGACGGAGACAGGCTCATTGCAGGGCGGGACTCCGGCTCCTCGGGGCGGGACTCTGCCTCCTAGGGCGGGGCGGAGGCTGAGTGGGCGGTACCAAAGCTCTCCTCGAGGCGGGGGGTGGGGAGGCTGGGCCCGCGCGAGATAGTAGGGGCGGAGCCAGGACTTCCCCCGCCGCCGCTCTATTGACCACGCCCGCCGCCACCCGGCAGTAGTTGTGGGGGGTCAGCCCCGCCTCTTCCTCTTTCCCTCCGAGAAGGCAGCGGAGGTGGACTATACAGCCATGGTGAGTGCGGAAAAATCGGAAGCCATCCGCGTACTGTGGGGCTCAGGGGCTGGGATGGAGGGCCCGTGGCGAGACCTGAGAACCCATCTGCCAGCCTGACCTGTGGGACGCGTTACGAAGTGGCCTAGTGCCACCTCAGTCTTCTCCCCACCTCAGGTCCGGGCCCCGAGAGGTATGCGCGGGCTCCCGGGGCCTCCGTCTTTCCGTCTGCTGAATGGCAGTAGGGGCCCAGCCTCGTAGCAGGACTGGGCGAGGGCGCGTCTGCTGGGGTCTGGGTTGCCCTGCCCGAGGCGGGTAGTTCTGGGTCTCCGGAGCCCTCTTGGCCCAGGGCAAGGCGCTCGGCTCCGAGGGGCGGACCACGACGCAGGTGGAGAGGAGGTGTTTGACCCAAACCCTCTCTGTGGGGCAGGCCAAGATTAAGGCTCGAGACCTTCGCGGCAAGAAGAAGGAGGAGCTGCTGAAACAGCTGGAGGACCTGAAGGTGGAACTGTCCCAGCTGCGCGTGGCTAAAGTGACAGGCGGCGCGGCTTCCAAACTCTCCAAGATGTAAGTGAACTGGCGGCCAGAGTACGGGGACACACGTAGGGGACTTTCGAAGTTGGCTTAAGGAGTTGTCCGTTTAACTGCCCTTTACATGGCTCCGTGGGTCAGAATGTGGCGCCATTTCTATTCAGGCTCTTTTAGGTGCCTCTTTCTCACTCCGAGGCTCTGGTGACCCTTGCCTTTACCTGCTTTTGACCTGTAGTCCTTTTTCCTAGAGTAACGGCTTCACTGTTTAGCGGAAGAATTAAGTGCCCCCGAAGTCCTGTTTTAATGCTTCCTTTGCATGTAGTTGATCCCATTCCTCTATCTCCCACCAGCACATAATGTTTTTCCTCAGCCTCTTTGGCTTGTTTGAGGGATCCTTTGCACCCCTTATTTTAGTTGTAGTGTAAGTTACTGATGTATGGGGAGGCAAGAATCAAAACTTGAGAAAGGAACATAAGTTTGGAGTTAGTCAGCCAGGGCATAAATTATACTTCGGCCACATTCTACCTGATGGGCAGATTGGCACACCACCCATGTCTTTCCCCTCTCCTATAAAATGGGCCCCCAGTAATTTTCTCATGGTGGTGCATGCTGAATCAAGAGGATGTTTACCAGCCATTTACTGATCAGCCTTCTTTCAGCATTAGGACATGTTTCATTTATCCCCAGCTTTTTGTCTTCAGCCTTGTCCCCTCCCAGTGGCCCAGTTTGTGGCATGGTTCCCTCCAGTGAGCTTATTCAGATCCACATTGCTTAGATCTTGTTTGTAGCCCTTAGGATATATGGCCAGGGATAAAAGGTCTTTCCTGGCTGCCCTTCACTTCCCCTCATTAAGCTTCACTGAACACTTCACAGCTCTTCGAAAACAGTTTGTGCCAGCTGCTTCATGTCCCCTCTCCTGGGATGCTCATGTATTGCCTGAGCAATACATGTATACACCCTCCTGGGCTGGGTTAGGCACCTCCTGGGTGAATGTGGGTGAGCTGATGGGGATGCCCCTGCCCTGTAACATATGGGTCAGGCCCTGAAGTAGATAACTTGGGGAGTGCTGTGTGTCTTACCCATCTTCACTGATTGTCTCTTGTTTTGTAGCCGAGTGGTTCGTAAATCCATTGCCCGTGTATTGACCGTCATTAACCAGACTCAGAAGGAGAACCTCAGGAAATTCTATAAGGTTAGTGGAGAAGGGATAACGGTGCTGGGCTACAGGGAGCAAAATTCCAGCTCTCCCTAGGCCCAAGGGGTGGTATGGTGAGCTCCGACTGGGGTGCTTAGAACTGGGCTTTCTAGAGCCTTCTAGCATGTGGCATGCAGACTGCATGCGGCTGCAGTTGTCAAGGAATCAAAAGATGTGGGAGTCTGGATAGAGTTGGATTTTGAATAAAACCTCACCAGCTGGGTGAGTTTGGGAAGTCTATGAGGATTGACTGTTTAAATGTTTTAATTGTCTTGGTGTGTCGGTCACCACCAAGCATCTGGCATTCTCATTTTTCAAATGAGGACCTCAAGACTTGGGTTAGGTTGCCTGGCATCACTGACAGGCAATAAACGAGTGATTGGGCTTAGATTCCAACCCATAGGGTGGGGGTGGATTGAGTGCTTCCGGGAGATTACAACAGGTGCCTGCCTGAAACTAGTATTAAGCTATGAAACTGAACCAGTGGGAGATTTTATAGAATGTGTACGCACACATGGCTTCCCTGATAGCTCAGTAAAGAATCAATCCGCCTGCAGTGCAGGAGACCTGGGTTCAATCCCTGGGTTGGGAAGAGCCCCTGGTGAAGGGACAGCCTACCCACTCCAGTATTCTGGCCTGGAGAATTCCATGAACTGTATAGTCCATGGGGTCACAAAGATTCCGACACAACTGAGCGACTTTCACTTTCACTTCATGCACACATTTGGTTTACTACAAGGGAATGACTTGTTTGTTTGTGGAGGAGGTGCCCTCTGTCCGCAAGAGAGGATCCCGAGCAAGCAGAGCTAAAGATTTGGTTGAAGCTGCTGCCCTCAGGTGGGATTTCTTGGAGAAAGCCACATCCTTGCCTTTAAGGCCTTTCAGCTGATTAAAGCAGGCCTACCCAGATTACTCTATAATCTCTTGAAGATTACTGATTAGGGGGCTTTGACTGCAAAATGGCTTCACATCAACACCCAATTAGTGTTTGAATGACTGGAGGGTTTGACATGTCAAAGTCGCCACTGTGTGCTGGGCTTGCTGCCATCCCTGGACATGGGTACATTTGTGTGGGGGGGTTTTTCTGAGAATTGGGTCTGGAACGTTTATCAGGCTCTGAGGGAACCTTGCAGAGGTATAGCCTGGAAGAACTGCCTCCATGACCATCCAGTGAGTACACTCTACCATACAGCCAGGCAGGGCTCCAGGAGGTAGAGATGAGGTCTCTGTATGAGCACTTTTTGATACATTAACCTCTGGCCCCCTGTTCCTGTTACATGGTTATAGTGACTGAAGGATGTAAACAGCGTGTGTGGCTATGGCTACTTTCTTGGACATCAGAGCTCTAGGTGCTTAGCAGATTGGAAGCAGGAAGCCCTGACCTGTATCAGCTGGTATGAGGGGTGTGGATAGGCAGACTTTCAGGTTCCCCCCAGAGCTTGCCCTCATCTCCTGTGTAGCTTTTTCCCTGCAGTTCTCTGCACCAAGGCTGTTCATGTCCTGAACCCCATTAACTCACACCCGCCTGCCCTGCGCCTACCCTTCCAGGCTGTTGGCACTTCCCAGCCTGAGCTGTCACTCTCCAGGGCTTTCATGCCCGCTCAGGTTTCTCGCTTTCGAGGCTGTTGTCGGTCATGAGTGAAACCTTCCTCAATCTCTTTCCTCCTCCCCAGCTATGCACCACTTGTTTTTTGGTGGGCTGGGAACTCCTTGAGCAGGGAGCAGGTTTGTGGCTAAGCCAGTACCCAGGACAGGGCTTCAAATGGAAGAAGCCCCAGGGGGCCTTTGCAGAACAAAGGGGACCATCAGAGCTGCCTTAGCCTAGACTGGCAGGGGAGGAAGTGGAGTGAGAGCAGAGATGGAGAGATGATCCATCTCCTTTTACAGGCCTGAACACAGGAGCCAAGGTAGGGAAATTTGCCCCTCGTAGCAGGATGGCCTTGGCCAAGTCAGATCTTCTCCTTAGATGCATGTGTTCAGTGTTACGGTCACCACAGGTACCTAGCAGACATCTCCGCGACACACACTTCCCTCAAGTTACTTCCTGACACCTCAGTTCCAACTTTTGGGGCTTCCTGAGGTATTGCAGTAGCTCCCAAACCCTGGTCCTCAGGTTCTGCTTGCTTCCCCTCACCCAGGGCAAGAAGTACAAGCCCCTGGATCTGCGGCCCAAGAAAACACGTGCCATGCGCCGCCGGCTCAACAAGCATGAAGAGAACCTGAAGACCAAGAAGCAGCAGCGGAAGGAGCGGCTGTACCCCCTCCGGAAGTACGCAGTCAAGGCCTGAGCTTCCAGCTGTCAATAAAACAGACAGACCACTGGCTGGCGTTGCTTTGTGTTTATAGGGGCTTCAGTTGTTGGGGAGGTGGCTGCGGTTACCAGGTGCCCGATGGACTCCAGCACGCTTGCTGCCCTGGCCATAGGGATCTGTTGGGTGCTCTATTAAGGTTATTTTGGGCCTGTGCCCCCTGGGCATGGAGAGGCAGGGGTGGAAGGTGTGAGGGCTGTAGATGGTGATGTTCTGTTTGAGCAACTCAAGGTGATCTGTGGTGGACTTGGCATTTTGTCTAATCAACAGCTCCAGACACTAAGAGTTTCCCGTCTGGCATAAAGGCACAGGCATGGGCCACGTTCAGAACTCCCTGCCAAAAGCATAGTATTGGGCTCTGGGGGTGCAGGCCTCCCCAGCGGACCTTCCACTGAACTCTTGTTTGCTTTGGCCACGGACCTTACCTTCAGAGTCTCAGTGCACTTTCCTGTATTGCAGTCCCAGACTTTGACCTGGAAATAAAAAGGTGAAGGGTAGGGAAGTCTACAGGCTGGTGTCTTTTGACCAAATTTTGTTGTCTGTGAGATGTGTTTAACAAGGGCTGCATACTACGTAGACATTCAGTGCAGTATTTTCTTTGCCCTGAAGTTGTCAGAAATGTCAGCAGCACTATTTGGGCCAGTGCAGACATGAGTGCCAGGCATTAGGTACAGAAGTGGTTGGTATCTGGGTTCTACCTACCCCTGGTAGCCTTCTACTGAGGGCAGATAGGGAAGTGGACATTTCTGGACCTGCTGAGGGCTCTGGGAGGGGGGATTTGGGGGTAGGGGCTGGCAGGAAGGCAGGCCTGGAGGGGCTTACCATGTGGGAGTAGCCAGCGCTGGCCAGCTGCTGCTCATCAGGGGAGAAAGCTATGCTCTTCACCCAGGTGATGTGGCCCTTGAGCTGGATGAGCACGCTTCGCGTTGAGGGCTTCCAGATGTGAATGGTCTTGTCCCAGGAGCCAGATGCCTGGACAGCAGACAGCTCTGAGCATATAGGTTCGGGGACTGCATCCTCTGTCCCCCAAGTAGCCCATGACCCTCAGTTGCAGTCGGCAGGCAGCCCAGCTCACCAGTAGGCCAGATGGTGAGTGGCACAGGCAGCTGATGTTGCCTCTGTGACCCTCCAGCTTCTGGTGGAAGATCCCAGGGGTCCCTGCCCGGAGGTCCCACATGCGGATGGTAGAATCCCAGGAGCCAGTGGCCTGCAGACAGCTGCCCTGAGCATGGAGCCTGCTTCCTCAGCTGGCTACGCCCACAGGAAGCAGGTACCAGCTCAGAGGAGACAGACTCAGAAGAGCTAAGTCAAGGTGTGAGATTTTAACCACTCTGGCCCAAGTGGGGAAATGGGTGTGGGCTCCCAGTTGCCTCATCTTGTTGGGGCCAGGGCAGAGATGGCTCACCAGGCAGTCTGAGCTGGGTGCGAAGTCACTGCTCTGGACGGAGTCTCGGTGTCCCACGAAGTGACGCAGCACCTGGCCTGACTGGAGGAGAGAGCCCTGAGTTTCGGAGAGCTCCACCTCGGATGGGTCAGACCCCGGGTCCTCCATGCGGGCCTGCCTGGCTAGTTTAATGCTGCGTAGGGGTTGGGTAGTCTTCCAGGGCCTTGACAGAAGAGGAGGGGGCACTTCATGGCAGAGGAGTTGGGGTACAAGGGTGGGTGGGAGGGTACCTGGGGAGGTGGCTGCAGCTAGATGCAAGGGAGTGGAGCACCAGGTGTGTGCATGGGCAGTGGCGAAGATGGAACACCCTTTCCTGGTTGGGAAAGTGTGACCAGTGAGGAGGTCCTCTTGGGATCCCAGGCCTCACTGGCTGCCCCTCCACATACCTGCACCTCCCAAAGCATCACCCTCTTGTCCCAGCCACCCGAGGCCAGCTGCTTTGAGTCATGGCTGAAACTGACGGTCTCCACACTCCGCTGGTGACCTGTAGACACCCGCCAAGTGTCGAGGAGAGGCAAGGTGGCACAGGAGTCAGCAAGGTCTGAAAGGGAACCCAGGCCTGGCTGCTTGGCTCCCAGTCCCCCCGCCAGCCAACTCACCCTTTAGGACCTGCAGACACTTGGCATCTGCGGCGTCCCACAGGCGGATGGTGCGGTCACAGGAGGTGCTGGCAAAGAGGCGGCCATCAGGGGAGAATCGGCAGAACCTCACAGGGCCTGGGGCAGGCGGCCGTGGTCAAGGAACAGGCACTACTCTCCACGTCCGGCCCTTGCAGTCTAAACCCCTGCTGATTTTTTCAGTTGCATTGCTTACCTCCCTTCTCCTCACTCCCTTCTAACCCTTAGCCTCCGGCCAGCTGGAAAATTCCTGGGCTTCCATGCCTTTGGAAGATGAATAAATCAAAAGCACCTCCCAGAAACTCCTTTCAGCCCAGCCTAGGTTCTACATTATCCTGTTTGGGCTCCCCAGCCCCTGGACTTTCCCTATTATAACATGAACCAATTTGCCCTATAACTATCAGATTTTCCTTGTCTTCTTGATTATAATTTACATTTACTGAGTTCTTACTGGGAGCCAGGCACTTTGTTTGCATTATCTCATCCTATAGGATAGCAACCATTACCCCAATTTTAAAGAAATAAGAGGCACAGAGGTGACAAGACTTGACTTCAATCACAGTCAAAAAAAGTGGGTAAACAGGTGAATCTGAAGGACATTATGCCAAGTGAAGTCAGTCAGCAGAAGAAATACTATGTGATTCCACTTAGTCAAACTGGAGACAGAAGGCAGAACAGCGGTTGCCAGGCGCTGAGGAAGGGAGGAATGTGTTCAAGGGGTACAGAGTTGCAGTTTTGCAAGATCAGAGTTCTGGAGGCCAGTTGCACAACAAAGTGAACATAAGGCTACTGAACTGTACACTTTAAAGTGATAAATGTAGTATTACCTAGATTTATGTGGTAGAATTTGAGTCCAGGTCTGTCAGAGTCAGGCTCAGGACCCAAGGGACCAGGTCCCATCTCCTTGCCCTCCTGCCCCAGCCCTGCCGGTGCTATCTTGCTGGGATGCCCAGCTCAAATGCTGGTAGACTCTGCGGAATGCCAGAACAGGTCCATGGGCCTCAGTCTCCCCATCTGGGCTGAAGAGCCTCACCTTTGTGGCCACCCAGTCTCCACAGCAGCCTCCCACTCTGAGTCTCCCAGCCATATACACAGCCGTCCTCGGAGGCCGTGAGCAGCCTCTGGCCATCGGGAGAGAAAGCAGAAGAGTTGACCTGGAAGGAAAGTACAAAAGGCCTATCCCGGGGCAAGAAACACTTCCTGCTCTTGCCTAACTCCAGACTCCTAAGCCTGCCCTAAACACTGCCCCAAGAGCCTGGGGTCGGAGCTTGGACTTCAGGACTCGCAACAACCAGAACCCAGGAACCACTCTGCAGTAGAGTCAAGAGCTTGGAGCCTTCTCTGCTGTCTTGTAAAACCAGAGCCTGAGGCTCAGAGCTAGCCTTTTTTTTTTTTTTTTCTTTTTTAGAGCTAGCCTTCTTTAGAAGCCAAGATCCCGTTTTAGAACTGGAGCCCAGAACTAGTTTAAAATCTGCTCTATGCCCTGAGTTCCCTCTTAAGCCAGAGTCCAGAGAACACTGGAACCAGCCAGTAGTTTGAACCCTCTCTGGAACCACAGCTTAGAATTCTAGACCCCATTCTGCAACTGGAGCTCAGGAAACACTCAATCTCCCACTACGCAGAACCAGAAACTACTCGAAAGCCAAGAAGCCCAAGGTCTTTCTGGGGAGAGCTCGACAGAACCTCACCTCCCCGCGGTGCCGGCCGAAGAATTTCACTCTCCCCACGGCCAGCTTCCCTCGGGTCCCGCTGTTCATGGGCCCGCGGCAGCCCGCCCCGGCGGGCTCCCTCCTAGGCGGGCGCTGGTCCGGCCTGACCTAGGACAAGGTGGAGGGGAAGGGGGAAACTGTGTACAAGCGGTCTCCATGGCAACCGGGGCGGGGCGCGCAGCCGCTTTGGGGTCTCTGGGAAGCCATGAGAAGGGAGTCCGGGAGAGACTGTTCTCAGCCCGGGGGAAGTGGGACAGCAGCAGGCAGGACCGCGGATGGCTCCAAGAAGGAACTTGCCTGCCCGGACCGCTGGCAGTCGGACCTTGGGCAGCTCTGGCCGCGGGGCGGGGTGGCGCCCGGCGGCCGCTAGAGGGCACGCCAGCACCGCATACCGCGTCAGCCTCTGTGGCTGCACCGAATCCGGCCAGGCTCAGCGCTAAGGGCCCACAAGCCTCTTGGAGAGGTTCCTGTTTCCCCATCTGCCCAATGGGGAGTCCAATCCCTGCCCCGCAGGGATCCAGACGTGACATAAGATAGGTGCCCATGAGGGCCTACCCAGGACCAAAGACCCCTTTCCTTCAGGAGTGGCCAGTACCGGGGCAGAAATGCTCCCACTGAACCGCTGGAAATGATGGGATATTTAGATATTCATCTCAGCCCTCCAGGATGTGGAGAGCCAGAGACAGTATGCAAAGCACAGGACGTTAAAAAGTGAAGTCGCTGATAACCTTCCCAGTAGCACGAAGTGTTCCATCTGAGGACGCGGCAGGAGACCCCAGGAGTTCTCAAGATCCTTGGTGGAGAGCTCAGAAAGGACAGGGCTTGGTGTCAGTGTGCATTTCTCAGATGAGGAAACTGAGGCTCCAGGAGGTGGGGGGACTTGCTCAAGGTCACTCAGTCAATAGGAAAGGAATTGGGACCTCATCCTATGTCTCTCTGACCCTGAGGCCACCTGCCATGAACACAGGGGCCTCACAGCGGATGAAGTATCTGACTCCTGGTACATCTGGGAAACTGACCCTGGGGAGACAGACTTGGTCCAGTCATCCAGCATTTCCATGGCAGAGTTGGGGGCAGAACCCAGCCCTCTCCCCACCATTATACAGGGGTGGGAGTAAGATACCCCACTCTCCCACTTTCCAGTGGAATCCAGGCTCCCTGAGAGTGGGGCTGGGGCAGCTGGGCTTTGAGAGTTTCAAACTCAAGTGAAGTGTTCCCAGTGGTGATTCACACCCCTCCCCCCAGACCTCTTTGCCAGAAATTCTTCTCACGGAGATCTGCTGTTCTCCTGCTCTATTTTAGGTCCTAGACAGTCAGGCGGACAAGGGGGCGACAATGGTGGCTTTGAGGCTACCCCACCCCCACTCTGACTCCCAAAGGACCCAGTTCAGTGAATTGGCTCCCCAGGGACCCATCTGGTCCCATAGGGCCACCTCTGCCCCCGCCCCGCCCCAGCTCCAGACTTGGGTCCTGAACACGGCTCCCCCATTGCTGACTCCCCAGACCCTCTCCTCCCTCTCTGCTTAGGCACCCTGCAGCCCATGCCCCAGCCACCTCGTTGCTCCTGCTTTAGCTGAAGTGCCCAGAACCACACCTCCCTAAGCTCACCCCATCACTCCCAGAGTCCTCTGGATAGACCTTGTCCACCAGACCCCGCAGCCACTCAGCCTGTAGCAGTGTGGCTGGGGTTAAAACATTTCTGCTTGACCCAGGGGTCTGTGGTTGGAATCACCCACAGTGAATTCCAGGTCCCTTGGACCAAGCATCATGTTCACCTCTCCTGCTTCATTCTGCCCCTGTTTCCCTGTCCCCTGCCCCATCTAACTCCCTGAACTTATCCACAAGGGGCCCTTCTCCTTCCCTGCATCTTCACTCCCACCCTGGGCCTGTGCACATGGGGTTTCCCACCCTCTTGGTCTGATACTTACCTTGGGTTCATTGCTTTCCCTGGATGGACTTCCTTTGCCCAGCTCCCAGACTAAGTCAGAGCTCCTGCCCCAAAGATGGGGCACTAAAGTCATGATTCTGGATTAAACCCAGGTTCTGCCCACTACTAGCTCTGTAACCCTGGGTAAGCTAACTGGTCACTCGGTGCCTTGGTTTCCTCGTCTGTAAAATGGGAGTGGTTGCCTTGTCAGGACTGACACGGTACCTGTTAAGAGTACCTGGTGTGCAGTAAGTGCTCAGAGAAGGGGAGGGGAACGTGATATCCATCTTTGTCACTTTAGCTTCAAATACTTTAGGCTAAAGCTCCGAATGCCCTTTGTCAGGCTCCCAGTGCCCTAAGTCATCACCTGAAGGGCCCACAGCCCAGGTACACCTCATGATGTAGGGGAGACCTTGTAATCAGGAGCTGTCTGGCTTCAGGCTCAGCAGGGGCTGAACGTATGGCAAACCCTGGGTTTGGGCAGGGGCTGAACCTGCAGGATGTGGTCTGTGGTAGCATGGGAAAGGAGCAGGCATGAGTGGGTCACAGTTACAGTGGCAGCAGAAGTATTTCACTGGCCCAGGGGGGCTTGAGTCACTCGGAATCTAACCTCTCCAGGAGAGTCTTGAGGGATATTTTCCACCCCTTGACTGTCTTTCCTTCTCCAAGAGCCTGCCACGTTCTCTCCTCCCTCAGTCCCAACTGCCTGGGGCAAGGGGCTCTGTGCTGAGCTTCCCCACTCTCACTCTATCTCCTGAAAATAACCCATGGTTCTGGGACCAGATTTACTTCTCTTCATTTCCTCAAAGTACCTGCCTTCCCAAGCTCCTTAGTTCCTTCTGAAACTGCTGTAGATACACAGTTATTTTAAAGAGAAAACTGGAGCTTCCGAAAGGAAAATGACTTGCTCAAGATCACACAGCTGGAGGGTAGTAGAGCTGAGATTCAAACCCGTGTTCAACAGTCCGTAAGACCCCAGCTCATTTCTGGCACCAGACACTCTTTCAATGAAGTTTGGGGAGGTTGGGGTATGAGCCTCTGCCCCAACACCCAGCCCTCACCCCCTGTGAATGAGATCTCACTATCCTGCAGGACAGCCTCTCCCATCATGCTGTTAGAAAGTCCTCGGTGAGTGAGAATCTGCCTTGCACCGCCTAACAGAGTGGAAGATAGGCCCGGGCTGCATCTCCGCAGTTCTCCTCCCAGGGACACATCAGTGCTGTTGGTGTTGTAGTTCCGGAAGGCTGGAAATGACCTGAAGAGTCATCTGACAAAACGCTCAGCAAAAAAGCAACATGGCAGAAGGCACTACAAGTAGGATCCCCCTCATATAAAAGTCAACATACCAAAGGCTACCTTCCATTTCTCAGGCACACATCCATATATACTGAAACTATAAAGAAAAGCAGGAATAGGTAACTCCCAGCCCACTAGAGGATTAAGTATGGAGAGAAGGAGGGAGGGGACTCAGCCGCCTTGAAGAGTACTTGCTCCTGGTAACATCTGGGATTGCAGCTGGGCAGTGGGCACCCAGGTGTCCTTTGGATTATTCTTTAATAACTGGCTCTACCTATTTGACCCCTGCCCACCTCTCCTGGCTTCCCTGGTGGCTCAGTGGTAAAGAATCTGTCTGCCAATACAGGAGACATCGGTTTTGATCCCTGGGTCAGGAAGCTCCCGTGGAGAAGGAGGTAGCAACCCACTTCAGTATTCTTGCCTGGGAAATCCCATAGACAGAGGAGCATGGCGGGCTGTAGTCCATGGGGTCGCAGAGTCGGACGCAACTTAGAGACTAAACCACAACCACCACCCCTCCTGCCTTCTCCTGGCTTCCTCACCTTCTCCCTCATTTCTTGTCCCCATCACCCCCAGTCCTGAGCAGTTTGGTGGATTATGCGGTGTCAGGGTTAGTATGAACTTTCAGACAGTGCCCCAGCAAGCAGAGAAAACTTTTGTAGCAGAAGAGTAGGCAGGAGAGAAGGGTGGAGAGTCAGATGCCCTGCTTCCTGCCAGCTTTCCAGCTCCCAGCTCCAGTCCCAAGGCTGCCTTGTCCTAAAATACACCTGTTTTCTTAAAGTACATTCCTTTTTTTTTTTTTTTTCTGAGTGAGCTCTAGTGTGGTTTAGGTTATTTGCCACCTGAAGGGCTTTGATTAAAATATCTCTGGAATTTTCATAGCTGGTCCCTCAATGTTATACCTTTAGGACCTCCTTTCTGGGACTCCCTTGCACACGGGGATCACCTAGGCACGATCAACACCCTCCAGTCTCAGTACTTTCCCCACAACCTGGGCCACCCTTATTGGAATGCACCATACTTGTTATTGTCCCTCCTAAAGTGTGAAGGCCAGAACAGGAAACATGCTCTTTGGAGGGACTGACAAGTGACAGGTTGAAATATACTGTCATCTCCAGTTTTCTCAAACTCTCGTAACGCAGCCTGCCTTACTAGAGTCACTTGTTTTCAACAGCTACACTAATCTGGTGACTCACTGTGTTTGCAGTGGGAGCTTTTTCCCATGAACTACTCTCCAGTCAACTCTCCCTCCCTGATCTGGTACTTACACAATGGATTCTTCGGAAACACGAAAGACCTTACGCTCTGCTGGCTAAATGTCATCTTTCTGGATCTCATCCAGCAGTCTGGTCTTGAAAGCATTGTAAGTCTGGCTGCCACTGCACAAAGCATTAATTCTGCCACTGCAGCAGCTGCGAACTTTATGAGTAGGCCTTCTGTGTTCTGAGTCCAAATTGTGAACATGATGGTCAACGAGATAAGGATAAGGACAGAGCCCTGCGGTCTATCACTGGATTCTCACTTTTTTGGCACCCATCCACACCCATCACTAATGGGGGAGAACCCGCTCTCCTTAGAGGTAGATTTGAGTGGAGAGGAGAGCTATGTGATCCTGCCTCTACCAAGGGTCTCTGGTTGTAAATAACAAGAACCATCGACTACCGTACATGACCACAGGAGAAGGGGCTGAGTGGCAGGGCTGGGGGTGGTGGTAAATCAGAGGGAAAGGATAGGAGCCAGGGCCAAGAATTCAGGGTGAAGCCTGGATGCTTCCAGGTCTTTGGAGACAGTGACTGACCCAGCAGACATCATGTGCCCACTCCTC